GTGAGGGGCCGGCGGCGAGTGTGAGGGGCCGGCGGCGAGGGTGAGGGGCCGGCGGCGAGGGTGAGGCAGCCGACGGCGTGTGAGGCTTCCTGTGCGACCAGGTCCCGCGTGGTGGTGGGGTATATGTGTGTGTGGGGAGGGGAGTGGAGTGGCCCGTGCGGAGCTGTGTGTGCGTTTGGAGGGTGTCCTGTGTGGTGGTTGGTGTATGCGTTAGGTCTGTTTGGTACCGTGTGTTAAAGGGATGTAGAGGTGGGCTGTGTGAGTGGAGGGATCCCACTTGGTGTTCATGTGTCCAGGAGGTGGATTTGAGGGCCTGGGTAGTGTTTGTGTGTGCACAGGCTATGTCTGGGGTCCTGTGTGACTTCCCTGTATGAAGGACATGTATTTAGGGTCATGGCTGAGGGGGTGCGTGTGTGTGCACATTTGCAGCAACAACCTGTGAGTAGGGAGGGTTCACATGGGAATCCATGTTTGTGGGGACTGATGGATGTGGCAGTGGGTTGTGTGTGTGAGTTGCTGTAACATCACCATGTCCTGTGCCCCTTTTTCCCCAGGAGCTGTGTGAGACACCATGGCAAAAGCWTTGGCCTCCCCAGGGCTGTTTTCTGATGATGAGGTTGCGGCCTCCCCAGTGCTTGAGTCCACAGCAACAGGGTTTGGGGCTGATGTGCGCAAGGACCTGCTGTCAGAGTTCTCTGCYATCTCTCCAAACCTGGAGGGCTCTCAGGTGAGGCTGGAGCTCTTCTGTTCCAGAGAGGGCAGTGTTTTCATGCATTGCTGGTGGTCTCTGTACAAAGGTGATGTGATGTGGAAACAACAGAGACTCTTCAAAAGAGGCAGGAATAAAATACTGCATTGGGGGAGAGCAGTTCCTGTGAGAGCAGTGAGGTGTGAACGGCACAGTTACCAAGTGCCTCTTGGGGTGATGTTTGGTTTTGGTGTCAGGCTTTCRGATTGCTGGTCTGATTCATTAGATAAACAAAAAATGCTGGTGTACTTGGAAATGCTTAAGAAAGCTTCTGGCATGGTGATTTTGAGAYCAGGGAAGTTCCTAWGTACTAGYAGGTATAGCCAACATCTGTGTTCCATACTGTGGTTCCTGTTAAGTGTTCCCATGGGGGGGTTGTGTGCTGCCTCTCTGGCTGCCATGTTTAACTTTTGCTGATTCTTTCAGGCTGTAGCTGAAGATAATAATGGAAAATTAAAGGTTTACCTGAGAGTTCGACCTCTGAAATCTATGGAAGTGGAAAAAGGGGAAGACCAGGTGAGACACTGAATGAAGCAGGCTTTGAGCTGGCTGTTTGCCTGGTTGGAGATGCTGTTGTTCTTTGCTGTCTATCCTCTGACGTTTTTTAAGCCACTGCAACAATAGATTTTATGTGTTCTTTAGGGCTGTGTCTGCATTGAGAACTCAGAAACCCTTATCCTAAAAGCTCCTAAGAACTCCTTCACCATGCGGAGCACGGAACGGGGAGTGGGACAAGCAGTGCACAGATTCTCCTTCACCCGGGTAGGTAGCTGGGACGAACAATCCATCTGGAAGTGATTTGAGCTTAAACCACCCTTGCAGTTGAAAGGTCTTATTCATATCCACTGTTCCCAAGGCACTGCTTGAATTCCAATCTCATACAATCCTTTCTACTTCGTGTTTTAGTTGCTGTTTTCTTAGCTTTTAATCTTTCTAAGCTGTTTCTGACAACTTTTTTTTTTGGCAGCAAAGGGCAAATTCTTGTTCATGAGGCTCTAARCARACTRGGGGGGCTGMAGTGATATGARATGTTAATGGATTAAACAAATGAAYAGCCTGTTTTTGTAGGAGACKCAGCTGGAATTGYTGGTGGGTCTTTTACTCRTGGCTAGTGCAGGGAATAAAGGACTATGTAATTCACTTGAGCAACCATCAGCAAAGGATAGGAAAGATCTACATGAAGTTGTTTTTCATGTGTCTTGTTTGCAGATCTTCGGACCAGATGTGGGGCAGAAATTGTTTTTTGATGAGACAATGAAGCAGGTGGTAAAGGATGTGCTGAGTGGGCAGAACTGTCTGGTTTACACCTATGGCATCACCAATTCRGGGAAGACTCACACAATTCAGGGTAAGGAAAGCACCAGGTGTTAGGGCCCCATTGAGGGAATTGTCTCCTTTCTCTTCTGTAAATCCTCAGCTTTGCTGCTGTTCTTGCTCCAGGCACCACCCAAGATGGGGGAATTCTGCCTCGCTCCTTGGCAACCATCTTCAACAGTGTGGGGGACCGGCTGTACCAGGCCATGGACCTGAAGCCTGCCCTGTCCACTGAGGTGACCAGACTGGACAGCAGGCAGGTGCGGCAGGAGGAGGTCAAGAAGCAGATGATGCTGCAGGGAGGTCTCTGGGAGGTAAGCACGGGGCTTCTGGGGGTTCAATAGCAAGAGGTGAGGGATGCTGTCATGTTACCTGCGTGCTCCTGTTCTTGGTTTCCTTCAAGGAGGAGCTGCTAACTCCACTGAAGAGGAGTCACAGTGCTGAGTCTCAGCCCCAGGCCACCAGCAGTGTCAGTTCTGACAGCGGAGTTGCTGGTCTCTCTTCATCCAGCCAACTCACCAACCGTTCAGACTTCAGCCAGACAGAGGGTATGTCTGGAAGCCTGCTGTGTTATACTCCAGCTTTTTGCTGGAGAATGGGGGAAGAAAGGGTGTGGCTATTTGGATGCTGTGTTGTGGGTAAGGGAGCAAAGGTGCTCTAGTCTACAGATTTTCCCTTTGAAAGATATGAATGTCATATCAGAAGAACTCTGTGTATATTTTGTCAATATCAGAAGAATTTCCCACTGTGCAATAACCGAGCCTTGTGAAATGAAAAAATACTTGAAACTTACTCCATTCAAGGAATGTGGTTATTGAGCAGCTGATTGCTCTGAGATGGGGACCGCTGGAAAGCAGGATGCCAAAGTGACAGGCTGCACYGAGCACTTGGGCCCTATCAAACCCAGGAATTATGAGTTGCTCAGGTATYCAGAAGCATGGAGAGATTGAGATAATAAGGACTAAAACTTCACTTATGCTGAGAAAGAGTTCATGTTTGAAGCATYATGTAATTCTGGAGTCAAAATTGAGCATATAGAAGTCCTTACCCAGAACAGATGATACTGTTAAAGGAAACTTTAGGCTGGCTCACTGAGGACAGGCATTAGAGTAGGTACAAACGGGAGGAGCTATATAGAAGGATTTGTCTTTGGGCTGCTTTTTCCTGCTGAAGAAAGTATCTCGCTCTAGAGCTAAGCCATTTCCAGTTGGAAAAGCTGCAGTCATGATTTGTTTTCCTTTTTTTTTTTCTTTTTCCCTAGAACTGCGCCCCTGCTGGGCTGACTTGGATCGCGTTTCACTCACCAGCACAGGAGATGTACAGTTCTCCATCTGGGTCTCATTCTTTGAGATTTACAATGAGTTAATCTATGACTTGTTAGAACCAGCTCTATCTGGGCAGAACTGCAAGCGGCAAACCCTGCGGCTCTGCGAGGACCAGACTGGCAACCCCTATGTAAAAGGTAGATTAACCTGGAAGAGAGGTTYAGTGGCATGCTAGGAAGGCTTTAGRACTGAGTAGGTGGGTGGCTTAGCAGTGATTATGGGTTTGTCAAGTCTGTTAATGTCAAGAATATGCATGGATCGGCTGAGATAAGTCTTCTGCCATCTCCTAACTGCTGTTCCCAATGCATRCTTGCTTTCCAGATTTGAACTGGATCAACGTCCAGGATGCTGATGAGGCCTGGAAGCTCCTGAAACTGGGTCGCAAAAACCAGAGTTTTGCTAGCACTCACATGAACCAGAACTCCAGTCGCAGGTCTGAAGGGGGAGAGATTGTTTAGGCAGAAATACAATTCTGMGGGGCTTTTAAATGTTGCATTTTCTTTTTTAAAAATAAATCTACATATTTCCTTACAGTCACAGTGTGTTCTCCATTCGGATTCTGCACTTGCAAAGAGGTGGCAGTGAAGTTGTTCCAAAAATCAGCGAGTAAGTTTCACATTGTCTAAGGTTTGGGTGTGGTCTCAACCTTCCTGTCTTTTCTGTTGAGGGCCTGGGGTATGGGAAATAYCTTGATGAAGATTGTGTTGAAAGTCTTTGGAAGGAGTAAATGCTCCCAGTGTTAMGTCTTGGTACTGACAGGAATTTGGGGAGTACTGCAAAGTACAACTTGAGCTAKTTTTCAGGCTTTTTGAATGAAGGTACATGTTAGCATCCTTACCCTTGCAGCAGAGCTGATTTGAGTGCTGCTGGTGCCTGTTCCAGGGATGTACTTGTCTGGAAAGTGGCTTTTTGGAGGACTGGCAAAGTCTCAAAAATCTTTGAACTTGGCACTGCAAAGTTCATTTTGCTGTTACCTGTAGAATAGCTACACTTAGGGCAGGCCCTTCCATCCATCAACAGCCCAGGCTTCCCAAAAGAATGTTCTGTGCCCTTATGAGGAAACTGGGAAGGTGACTGCAGGGTGTCTGAGCTGTAAACGTGGATTTGGCAGGATAAACCCAGTGGATCATGTGAATATCATGTGTTTTCCTCAGGTTATCCCTGTGTGACCTGGCAGGGTCCGAACGCTGCAAGGACCAGAAAAGCGGGGACCGAATGAAAGAAGCCAACAACATCAACACCTCCCTGCACACCCTGGGCCGCTGCATCGCCGCCCTCCGCCAGAACCAGCAGGCCAGGTGAGCTTCCACACCTCCAGAGGGAGGGTGKGGAGGGTTTTTTTGCTTTCCCAGCTCACTCCTGTCTCTCCCACAGGACKAAGCAGGCGGTGGTTCCATTCCGGGACAGCAAACTGACCCGTGTGTTCCAGRGCTTCTTCTCTGGCCGTGGTCGCACCTGCATGATTGTCAACATCAACCCGTGTGCATCCACCTATGATGAGACTCTGTACGTAGCCAAGTTCTCAGCCATTGCCAGCCAGGTGAGTAGCACACACTAGGATCATGACATGTTCTGTGTACCTTGGGTTTTTCCTGTTCCATGGGAATGGGCCCTTTTCCACCACAAGGAGAAGTGGGTACACTTGCAAGTCTTTCCTATGCTTTTCCAGTGGTTATTACTCTAGAGTATTTCCAGATTCTGCTAAACTGAAAGGGCTGATGGTTGCAAAGAGGGGCTGTGTCAAAAGACTTCACAACTTGCAGGCTTTGCAAAGTGGTAATGATGGTCTTTTCCCCTTCAGCTTGTTCAGGCACCACCCACAAAGCTGGGACTTCCATCCATACAATCCATCATCAAAGAGCACAGCAGGAGACTCAGCCAGGGTCCGGAGGCAGACACAGAGGAAGATGTGGAATCAGAAGAAGACACTGAAGATGAGGCAGATGTCTCCATGTATGCAAAGCAGGTGGGTTGTGATTTGTTCTGCAGCCTTTATGGATGGARGGTCAGGGACATGATTGTTAGCTTTGGCTTGGGAGCTGGGATTGGAGCTYATGACTATGCCAAGAGAGATGACAGAGTACCTCAGAAGGATACAGTACCCAGGAAACTGGGAATCCATGACAAAAACATTCCACAGTTGGTCTAAATCTGACACACATGCTTAATTTGGAAACATTTGGTAATCTGTGGAATAGTGACAGTAGGAGTGCAGGTGCAGATCTGTAATTTCTTCTCTGCAAGGGAAATCTARAGAGTTCAGAAAACATGTAGAACAGGAGGCTAAATTGGGAAAAATAATCAAGTTTCCTAGATACTCATAGTAGGCAGCTGAAATAGCTGAAAAATCAAGATTAAGTAATATCCCTACAGAGACTCAAGCTGTTGTGTGTCAAGATAGCAAACCTTGGCAACTTCTCTTTCCAAATGATGAAAATCATAAATCCAGATCACTGCAGACATGGGATCACTTAGTTTACTCCAGATTTTAACTCTGTTGTGCGGTGTGGGCAGTGCAGCTGTGTCCCCCTTGCAGGACTTGCTGCGGGTGGTGGAAGCTGCACGGGAGCTGCTGGTGCAGGAGMGGCAGAAGAAGCTGCAGCTCGAGTTGCGCCTGCGTGAGGAGATCTGCAATGAGATGCTGGAGCACATGCAACAGAAGGAGCAGTGGTGGAGGTACAGCCTGTGCTGATCTTCCCTCCCTCTGCTCAGGGTGAGCTGCAGCACCAAGAACTGCCACATCCTGACATGAAATTGGTTGTTCTCTTTGTAGCCAACGTGTGGATGCAGAGAGAGAGCAGCTGGAGGAACTGTACGAGGGTAAAATGACCATCCTGAAGGAGTTACTGACTGACCACTATCAGGAGAAGATGCAGGTTTGTTCATRGCAATGAAATGATATCAGGAAAGTGGCAGTGGGTTGGAAGGAGACTCTGGGTACTTGAATCCAGGAAGATSTTTATGCAAACTGAAAGATTTTGCTTTCTGAACTATTTTTGGTGATATTATTTCATCACTTGATCCACAATTTTTGCTTCTTGTCTCCTACTTTATGTAGCCCACTAGGCTTCCTAATTTTGAACACTCTATCTGCAAGCCAATGTACTACCATCCTGACTCCTCTATTTGTTCAACATGATTCTCTCTCCCCTTTACTCTTTCCACTAGTGACTGATTCAGGCTCTTCACATTCACACAAGTTGTGTGAATTTCTCTTCTTGCTCTTAGTTGTGATGATGGGTATGGGCCTGTCCATATTTTCATGCCTATGGCATTTGAGTGACCTCTGGGACTTGTTSCAGACTGCTCTGAAGATGCCAACTCTCAAAACAATCCCTTTTCTTTTGAGGCTATAAAAAGTTGATTTAGGCTCCCAGGAAGTAGGTTTACTGTATTCACTTAAAAGACCTTAAAAGCTGGGTTTTATGGATGAAGTGTAGGATTAGGAAATTCTCCAGGAAGAAACACAAAGTTTCAGACAARTTGTGCTAAGAAAATCTTGTTGAATATCTGAATGAACTTCCTTTCTCAGGAGCGTGATGAGGAGATTKTAGAGCTCAAAGCTGCTCTGCAGGAGACCAAACAAAAACTGGAAAGCCTGGATACCAAGGAAAAGGACTCAGAGCAAGGCGTGCGTCGATCCAAGCGAGTGACCACCTCRTCTGCTCTGCAGCAGGAGCTGGCAGACACCAAAGCCAGGCTGGAGCAGTGTCAAAAGGAGTTAAAAACCACAAATGCAGGTAYGGCAGTGAACGGTTCTGAACTGTGCTGAGAGATCTTTGTGCAGGGTTAGAGAAACCTTCAGGCTACACTGGATTCAGACACCATGAAAACACTATTTGAGTTGTAGATGACAGGAATATTGTGCTGGATGGATAGTTTCACTTCTTTTTCGCAAGAAAATGGACTTCAGGTTAGGATAATCTCCCTGTTCAAATTCATAAGTCCCTTTGTCTCAMTGAATGGGAGAAGCCTGGAGTGTTYGTGCCTTKCTGCACAAACTCAAAAGCTCTTCCCAGCTTGCCTGAGGCAGCTTGTCTCAAGGGAAAACTTCAGGAATACTGAAAGCTGATCAATGTCCTGTTGCTCATTAATTTTTCTCTGTTCCCAGAGCTGTGCAGGTACCAGAAATTAGTGGAGCCACCTCCCTCTGCCAAACCCATTACTATGGATGTGGACAGGAAGTTGGAGGATGGACAGAAGGTAACTCCAACTCTGTGTTACAGAAAAGAACATTTTCAAGCCAAAGTGGTTGCCATCTTAAACAGTGTTTGGGACTGCTCTTTCCAGGTTTTTAAACAAATGGTTGAAGTTGAAACAGGTTTGTTGAACTTACTGGAGTTGTTGAAGGTTGTGGCATCTGTAATCAGTCAGTTGGGATCCCCTCTCAGTGCTGCATGTCTGAATTGCCTTGGAGTGGCTTTGTCCACAGAGCAGTGCCAAAACCACCTGTTGCTTTAAATCTCTCTCTTCTAGAATGTCAGATTGCTGCGTTCAGAGYTACGAAAAATTGGGGAGTCTCTCCAGTCTGCAGAGCGGGCATGCTGCCACAGCACAGGGGCAGGGAAGCTGCGAGAAGCCCTGGGCACGTGTGATGACATCCTGGCTAGACAGGTGATGTGTCTGGTTTGTTGGGGGTTGCATGGGSGAGAGGGGTTTAATCCGTAATCAGAGTAACTAAAGCTCTTGCTGCAGCAAATAAAAATTACTTATTTGCTAGTACATACTGTCTATTACGTGAAGGGAGCTCTACTGATTTTTTTCAATGGCTGAGTCAGTTGAGTATTTACCTCTCCAAAGGAGACCCAAATTGTTCCTGTTAAGTTAACTGGCAGCCTGCACTTAAAGTAGGAGAAATCAAGAGTTCTCATTTCCTTACCCACTTGATCACAGTTGCTATAGCAGCATATTTACAGCAGGATGGAGTCAGCAGCTTTGTCCCACCCTTACTGTTCCTATTTGTTACTGAACTGCTRTACTGTTGTCAGTAGAAGCTTTTATGCATGGTCTTATTTAGCAGAACAGTTATTGATATTTGGCAAAAGGCAGTTTATCCTCCTCAGTTCACAGTAACTAGGGAGTTAAGCCAACTTGTCATTGTATCTGATRGGAGCCCACAAGAAAGCTGGAGAGGGACTTTTTATAAGAGCAGAGAATGACAAGACAAGGGGGAATAGCTTCAAACTGAGGTTTAGATTAGGTACTAGGAAAAAATTMTTTACTGTGAGGGTGCTGAAGCACTGAAAACACATTGCCTAGAGAAGTTGTGGYTGCTTCATGCCTGGAAATGTTTAAGGCCAGGTTGGGCCTTAGAGCAAGCTGATCTTGTAAAAGTCCCCAACAGAGAACACAAGGATCTTTAAGGTCTGTTTCAACTAGGAATGAGCTTTTCTTTCTATGATGAAATACTTTTATAYTTTTTTATATAAAAATATATTGCCTTGCCTTCCTCAGGACCAGACCCTGGCAGAGCTGCAGAACAACATGATGCTGGTGAAGCTGGACCTGCGCAAGAAGGCGGCCTGCATTGCCGAGCARTACCACACCGTGCAGAAGCTGCAGGCCCCGCCAACATCCGCCCTAAAGAAACGCTTCTGTGCCAACAGGGAAAACCTGCAGCCCAATCAGCCTCCTGGCAAAAAGCCCTTCCTACACAACATCCTGACACGTTCAGCCACTCGGCCTGTTGCTGCCAGAGGGTGGCAACTTCGTTCAGTTGCTCTATGACTTTTGAAAAGGAGGTCCCTGCCCTGCTATTACTGGAACAGGTGGCAAATCCAATATGATAGCATCTGGTTTTCATTGTGCGCTTGTTTATTGTTWTTGTAGCTGCTTGAGAGCTTATGTAAACATCTCTGGATATGTATGTTTAAAATTTCAATCAATACCAAAGTGGACAAAGTGACCTTATGTAATTTAAACACTGCACTGAGGAGAGTTTAAAATAGTGCAGATGATCAAACTTTTGTTAAACAAAAGGACAAGATAAAGGTGAGTTCTTGTCTATGTTGGCACACAATTCAAAAATAAGTTCACAGGTTTCTCTTTGAAAGATACTTTGCCTTCCTTGAATTACAATCCTTTATTAAAGTATACACGTTCTAGGCCAGGGTTGTTCTCTYGGATCTTGGCTTGCAATTCTGGCTCCAAGCTTGATACCGACATGGAACTGCACAAAAGAAACAGTAAAGGGGTTACATCAAACAAGCACCAGAATGTGCAATAACGTGGACAATGCATCTGGTGAAACTTCCTGCATTGCCAAAAGAGTTTTCAGATATTTTTAAACATCTTATAAAGGGATGATACTCGCAGACCAGGGCAAGTGAATCCCTGCTCTAAGGGCAGTGGGATAGTCTATGGAGTCAGGAAATGGCTGTTGCTACTACAGTGAGGGTAAAGATCCACTTCATTGCTKAGGCTGTTGCTGGCAATAGAAACTTACCTTCCTAAAGGTGTTTTTATTCAATATAATGTATTTGCCTATTTACTTACTATCTGATTTTATTCAGCTGAATAAAAGGTTTGTTATGAGAGCTGGTTCACAGTAGAGTGAATTAAGCTGCCAGGTCATTTGAACAGCTGCAATTTCCTGAACACAGTTCAAGGTCTAATCTTCCTCTGAACTGGAGAGCCCTGGCTGAAATCAAGAACTGTACCATGTGTGCTGGGTTGGTTTGTCAAGTCATCTCCAGGTAGCCTAGTGACACTTGTTTACCACAGTTCTCTGTCCTAGGAGACAGATGGTGTCAGACAGCTTTGTTAGACTCAAACAACACTGAGAATTGGGTATTGTTTTCTGGAAGTCAAAAGCTGCCTCAGTTGTTCAGTATTTTAATGGACTCAGCTCAAGCTTGGATTGTTTAAGTTACAGCTGGCAGCTTGTTGAGTTTAGACAACCACTATTAAAATGAGAGGGACAGGTGCATTTAAGGCCCTGTCCCTATTACKGTTGGAGGTTAGGGTTTTTCCTTTTCTTTTAGGGATCTTTTTTCCCATTTTGTTGCAAAGGAATAATAATGAGCAGGTACTTAAGAGAGACAAAAGAAGTTGCTAAGCTCAGGGGAGGAGTTGCACTTCTCTGCTGCAAATTTTTCTGGGAAGAGCAGAGATGCCATGAGAACTGGGCTGGGGAAAGGGGAGCTGGGGCAGTTCCTGGTTCCTTTGCTCTCGATTTTAGACGAGGATGGCAGAGCTGCTGCCTTGAGGGAACAATTCTCTGCTGCCACCAGGCCCAGACCCTGCCGTTTCTCTGCCACTGCTCTGAGGTTTCTTTGTCACACTGTGTCTCGCACCACTGCCCTGCCGAGTTTCTGATCAGGACTTTGCTCATATCTGCTTTCCCAGCTTGCTACCCCGAGGTTCCTGTTACAGCTCCTGTTGCTCTCCGGAGGGGGCACCGGGGTCAGCTCCTCCTGTGAGYTCCTGAAGGAAGCTCTTTTCTCCATCCATTTCTGCGGGCTGGAGAGAGGGAGCCGGCCGGACTCTGCACCCACCCTGCCCCACCCGCAGCCCCCAGCACATCCACAACCTTACTGGAAATGAATATATTGAATATGAGTTCTATATGAATAGAACTCATCTTGAGCTGCTGGGCCTTGTAAACAACTATTATATATTACTGATGTATTAACACAGTTATTACTTCTCTGTATATTCTCTTGTTTGTCACCTTTGTAATATTGGAATTAAAACTGTGCTTGAGCAGGCAATGACCTTGTTTGTGTCTGTGCAGTAACAAATGGATCTCGAGTAACACTGAAATGAGAATAATTAACAGCAGTACCCACCTTTTCTGAGGAAACAGTGCACAACACAGAGGAGTTGCAAACACGAGACTAGAGGAGATAAAACCAGATTTACAATGTTTAGAGTGCTGAAGGAAAATTCAAAAATCTCATGCATGAATTAGGTAAAAAACTTTTTCTTTTGTACATTGAGGTAAAGTTYTATCAACTGCTTCTCACTCCACTGTACCTTCATTGATCTCCTCCATTGTAATCACTGATCTACACATAGCACTAAATGTATCAAGTCCATGCTCCCAAATGTGTCTAAAATTACCATTTGATGTTCTTACAGTGTTTTACGTTAGTGTGCAGGACAACAGAAAATGCTAGAATACAGCAAATTGAACCCTATTAACCAAATGTTTCAAGAATTCATCACCCTCCAGGATGAGATTCCACTGACTGTTTAGAGGTAGCAGCCAGAGCACCTTTTTTAATCAAACTGCCACATTCCTTTTTTTTTTGCCACTCCCTTTCTCCCTYCTGCTTTTCTTGGCAGCTTCCCTGCTAACGGCTTTTTTGTTTTTAACATGATATTTTATCAATTACAGAGATGGAAATAACTGCTGTGCCCTCATTAACTCTCTCAACCTTTTTTCCTTAAAAAAAAACCCAAAAAAACAAATATTGCTACTTTCTCAAAACCCCTACAAGGATCTCTTAAGATAGSAGACCCAACCCAAAGAAACCACTTACCAGATTCCAACTAATCCGACTTGAATGGGAGCGCTCATCCATGGAAATCTCTGTTGAAAATAAACCCCACATGGTGAATTAAAACATCATTTTTTCCCACTTCCCACCTTCCTGGAAYTCTTGTTTTGTAAGAGAYTGCACCTAAAAGACTCTCAGATGTGAAGGCAAAACCCTAATCAGCGTGGCTTCATGCTGAGCTCCAGTTTGAGAACCAAACTCCTTTGAAAAGCAGGAAATTCCCAGTGGATCAATGCACCCTGTGACCCTGAGGAAGTGTCCCTTAGAAACTCCAATGAGTGCTTGGCTGTTTGACCTGGACCTGAWCCTGGGGCTTTTCTTTGGTTTCCAYGAGCCCTCRGTAGCAACAGAGCTGAAATTTGGAGTGRTGCTGCCACACCTCTGAAGGGCACAGGGAGTTTTGCCAAGGCATTCCAAGGAAGAGGCATTCCAAGGTCTGGTTACAGCTCCTTCCCTTCAGTGGCATCAAATTGTTTTATCCTGCAACAGCAGGCACTGGCCATAAAAAAGGGAGATGCCAAGTCACAAGGTGAATCTGCCTCTCTTAGCCCTTTCTCCTGTCATCTGATTTCCCCTGATGAGCAGGAACTTGTCCCTGTAGCAACACTCCAGTTCTGCCAGAATTCACCTTTTATTGAGGGAAAGAAGGGTGGATGGATTGGGAAAACGAAGCTGAGAAAGCAACACATAACCCATGGATGCATTTTTAGCATATTCCTCATTAATTCTGTAACTTTTGCAGAACTTGAATATATGCCAAGAATTTTTTTTTTACAGGCTTTTAAATGATTTAGGAATCCACTCCCCCTCATTGGCAGAATTTTAGTCGAAATTCATTACTAATGAAGTAAACCCAATGGACACTGCTGCCTGTTGCTACATTAAGAGCAGGACATACACAGCTGCCATGAGAACACAAAGGGGATTTTAAAACAGCTCACGAGGTAAAAATCAATTGATAACAGTGGATGATGTTTTCAATAAAGATGATGCTTATTCCTGCAAGAAGAATTTCTCAAGATACAGAAGTTAGAGAGGAAAATGGTGAGCAAAAGCTGGGCACTGTTTGAGAGTGGAAGTGGACAAAGGAAATGTAGAAAGCTCAGGAGGAAAAGCTCAGGACTGAGAGTGGGAAAATGAGCCTGTGTGGCATAAAATTTCTCCAGCGCCTGAAGGAGAAGAAGGAGTGTGGAAGATTGCTTTACTTTTCCTTAATCTATTTTTTTTTCCTGGAGCCAATCTGTAATCCAGAAATGAGTGCAAGAAGAACTCTGCAATTCAGCAATAACCTGGAACAACAGATAACAAATGGGAATAACAACAGCACAGAGGGTAAAGAGTGCAGCTTTGCAGTTCTGGCATTTCCTAAACCCTTTAATTTGACCCTCTGAGGAGAAGGCAGGGACAGGGAAGCTGTGCCTTGCAGTGGGAGTGTGGGATCCAAGGTACCTAACAGAAAAGCCCCAGATACAATTTTATACCTGAAAAGGCTGTTGGAAGGTGTCCTGAGAGGAATAAATGGTTTCATGCCTTTGTCAGAGTTGGTCATTGATCTGAGACAGYGAGGTGTCTAATACAGACTCTTCAAAGAACATTTGAGTTTATGTGCTGGAACATTTTTTGCCAACTTRATCTGAATTACAGACTTTATTTTTCAAGAATGTTACCAGGCTGCACTAATCCACAAAGATGGATGGAAAAAGTAACTCTGGGAGGTCAGAATTAAGAACTAGGAGTTGCCCAGGGAAMAACGTAAAACAATAAAAACTCAAAYRCAGGCTGCAYRCCCCCACAAAGAGAGAAAATGGAGAAACTACAAGACAAAGAGCAGAAGAATTCACTGTGTTAGAGAACTGTCATTTCACTCCGGAAGAAGGCAGCTCCCAATGAATTAGGATTTAATTTCCAGATGTCTCTATGACATTTTAGTGGTTAGTGCAAACAGAGAAAATGGAGAAATGATAATTAAGCAAACAAAAGCCRTAAGGAGAATCAGCTTTTCTCTAACTGCCTCCTTTCTTTGTTCTATCTWAAAATCTGTCAGCTTTCCCAGGCCAGCTATGCCTGTTTTCAAAAAAAAAAATAAATAAAAGAAATGACAGTGAAATTAGGAATGCATGGAGGACTTCAGGGCATAAGGCATTCAAGAACAATGCTTGAAGAAAAAGGCTCCCTGTTCTGTTTTTGAATAACCGTTTTGAATACAGATTTTAGYTGCAGAGTAAAAGACCTCAGGGACCTTGTTTCAAGGATATATCAGGAAACTTCTAGAATCAACTTGGATGTTAATACAATATGCAGAACGGGAGAGAAACTGTAGCTAAAGCTGTAAGAGTAGTAATATAAACTAAAACTTCAGTGTTCATTCAAATTTTTGTAAGTTTCTATGGAAAAAAACCCCAATTTATTTCTTTCGGAGGAAAGTTACCTGTAAGTAAAATCTATAAACCCTCAGAGCAAGGTTGTTTATGGATCTTCCTGCTGCAGCAGATAAAATAACTTGGTTCTGCACAGAGCTGGTCAGGAGTATGGCAGCAGGGATAATGAAAATAGATATTATGCAGCTTAATCAATTACTGCTACGCTGCATAATTACATAAAATGGCCCCAAAGCTGCTGCTGAAACCTACAGCAAGAGAACATATTGAGATAAAAATACTTTTTCAAGGCAACTTTCTTTTTGAAGCAGTAAATACGTGCTTGTGTTCTACCAACAGTCTTGAGGCATTTGCTAGCAGTAACTTTTGGGAATGTTGTTAATTCACACTCATGCCTCGGTGCAAAACACTGTGGGAACGTGGGGGATGAGCAGGGCTACATGACCTACATCTTATTCCAAATATCACAGGATGACAGGCTGCTCTGAGACCAACATTCCAGGAGCATTTCCTTCTCTCTGCCTTACTGCAGGCCAGCTTTCTCTTTTCTTTTTATCATTTCACAACCATTTGCYTATTTTTTGGCCTTGTGTGTTGCTTAACGGGCTTTGGCAAGCAGTGAAGGAATTATTTCCAAGAGTGGCAGTGAAGGCCAGGGGGAGTGAGTTAGTGAAGCAGTGTGGGGTTGGGGTGCTGGGAGGGGATGGTGCTGCTGGAACTCCACGGGGACATGCAGAAGCTGCTGGTTAAAAATGCAGCTCATTCCTTAATGGGTTTAATACTAATTTCTACYAGGGGTTGCCACTGGCTACCTGCAGAGCAGGGCTTCACCTGGATTCAGTCTCTGAGCGAGAGGACAGGTGAGCATAAACGGTCAGGATGGTCCCAGAGACCACTGAGCAGTCACTGCAGAAATYGCTCATTTTTGCTGATCTGAAAAATTCACAACACCCTCATGTTGATGACACCACACAGAAAACCAACAGGTATTTGTCTCCAGACCCTGAGGATTGCTGCAACTTCTTCACAAATCCCATGTATTTGTCAGCTGAGTTGATAGCGTTGRTGACATTTCTCACATGTCAAATACATATCAAATATTTTTTTCTCTATTTTTTTTTTTTAAACAAGAGTTTATTTTCCAGGCAATGCATTCCCAAGAACACCACAGTATCACAARTTGTGGTGTGTTTGGATGCCCTGCAGGCTCACTTCTTCCAGGAGATAAAAGCAGCACACCCTGATTTTCACCCTAAAACTCAAATGACACATTTCCTGCTTTTACACTCTGAGCAAGAGTGTTTTCTGTTAACAAGTGGGAGGGAAGCAAAGCACTTTAGGGAAAAAAAAATTAAAATTGCAAGACAATCATAGAATGGTTTGGGTTGGAAGGGACTTTAGAGATCATCCAGTTCCACTCCTTTCACTACCCCAGGGTTGYTCCAAGCCCTGTCCCACCTCAAACACTTCCAGGGATGGGGCAGCCACAACCACCCCTGGAAATCTGTTCCTGACTTATAAACACAGAAACCCTTTCAAATGGGGCATCTAACTGGGTAATCTCACCCTGCACAAGAGACATGAAGGGCAGAAACAGTAAGAGATAAAATTTAAACACTTTAGAAAGCTTTATCTTAAACAAACAAAACCATTCCAAACAAAATCTTCCCCTGCTTGTCTTCCCTGTCTCCACACAAACTCTTCCAAAGGAGGGTCTGGTGACTCAGACCATGCTTTTTTTTTCCTAATTTTTTTCTAATAGGAAGGAGACATTTTCTTAGGCTTCTTGGGTGGGACTCACAGGCAGAAGCTTTGCCTGGAGCTACCAAATAATTAAATCAGTGATACCAGCAGTGAGAATGAAACTCCCTTTACTGGTAAAGAAATAAAGGGTTCCTCACCTGAGTATTACTCCCCTCGTGTTAGACAACCCTGTAACTAATTCCATTATTGTTCTTTACCCTCTCATGCACACACAGTGCATAATGTTGATGTAGGTTATGGATTTGCYAACACCAAGTGTTTTACTTTACGCTAAAAAGAATCTAGGAAATAAGTAATCTTTGCTGAAGAATGCCCTTTCTATGCCTACTCTGCAATTTACATTCAGCAAATGTTAAAAGATCATCTTCTAAAGAGTTTTTTACCATTACTTTTGCTTCCAAACTCAAATTGCTACTACAGCAGCTAACTTGAAAAAAAAACCAGCATTATTAAAATGTTTCGGTTTTACCCAATAAACTCCGTTTCAAGACTCAGTGCATGGAAGGTTTATTTCATAGGGGGAACTGTGCATTTTAAAAACAATTATAAAAGTAACAACGATGTTTCTATTTTCACAATGTTACCTTACACTGTGATAGAAAGAAACAAGTTATCTCTAAGAGAGGCAGAATGAAAGCGACAGCTGTAAAGCGAGTTCTGCAGGGATGTCCTCCCAGTGTTTGGGAAGCAAATAGGAAGATTCAGAAAGTATATTAAATTAATTAAAATATTGATTTAGGAGATGAAACACATATAGATAGATTAGCTGAGACTAACCTTTAAAAAGGCCTTCTTTTCCAATGTATTCATTATGAAKGGTGGAATTGCTGAAAATAAGATAAAAAAGGCATTAACTTTGGAGAGAAAGGAACTTTGTTTTCMTTTTCAGTTTAGCTGAACTAATACYATTACACAATTTTCACAGYCTTTTGTCATTCMCTGAGTTTTTCATTTCACATGGCCAACTGGATTGGTATTTACAGAGGTAAATTCTCCCAAAAAGCAAAACTTGGAATTTCACATGTAACCAAACCTGAGCTCAGTGACTGCACTGGGCAGAGCACCCAAAACAATTCCAAGCAAGTGGAATTYGCTCCCATTCCTTTGCTCTCTGTATCTTTTCTGCATCCCAAGCATCCCAGGAGCTTTTCTGCTGCACTTCAGAGCAACTCAGTGTGGATGTTTCCACAACTCCCTGGGGAGGCTCTGAACAGAAAGGCAAACACTGCCTGGGGAACTGTAAGAACTGTGAGGTAATTTGGCCCCCGAGGAAAATCACTGGGCTAGAACTGAATCTCTCTCACAGCAGGAACTGCTAATCAGGACTGCACAGGGTTTATCCTTACCCATGCCAGGAGAAGCCATCAGGATCCTGGATATCACCACCTGGGTGATTGCCTGCTGAGCTGCTTTGGATGAATCACCCAGTCTGTTTCCATTCTCATCCGTGACAGGAATTCCAAACTTGAGCTCCCTGTTGAATAAGGGGTAAAAAATAAAGCAGTGRTGGATGTGAATTTATTTATTCACKGGTTTTTCTTTGTCACCTTAGTCCMTTAAAATCATCAATTATAACAATTACCTATTTTATTTTATCAGTTAGTCTGTTTGCAACACTCTTCGGCACAAAAAAAATTCAAAAGGCAGAGAAAGACCAAGGAAAAATATGCTGAGAGGTTACCAACTGAATATCTGTAACAGCAATCTGCTGCTTGAATCTGTTCACAGCATTCCAAGGAAGATGTGCTTTTTCTGTGTTCCACAGAGGGGAGAGGTCAATTCACAAACTAATTCAGAAAAGTGGATTTTCTGGACTGCTCTGGAAGTGGAGGCTGTCCAATCTGACAGACAGCTCATGGAACACAGGAAGATTATTTTCAGTGTGATAAAACAGAAGGCTCTGTGAAAATTCCCCTCTGGCACTGAGTTGTCATTTCAACAATGGAGAATATACTTGAAAGTATGAAAGGAGGAACAAACCAAACTGTTTTTGTAACTGCATTATTCGCTATTAGATCTTTTGCTCAAGAGCAGGGTTAGGTGGTAAATTCATACTGGGAGAAGAAGAGAGAACAGCAGGTACCATGAGAGCTGCCTTTGTTCTTCTCTTCAGATTTTAGAAAAAATAAAATTCTACCACCGATGAACTTCCCTTGTAAATACAAACTCTAAATACTCCCTTTTTTTTTGCCCATAACATTGTGCTTTAATAGGATGCTTTTAATTTCCTTTTCCCTACTACTCCCTACTGACTTATTCCTAGTCAAATCACAACACAAAAAAAGTTTGTTTCTGACAAACTGCGTATTTTTGTCACCTCGATGATTAAACAGAACTGCAGAACCTGACTTCTATGACTAAGTTCTGCAGGTGGGATTTTGAAGCACCATTTTTGAAACGACTGTATTTTTCCAAAGTGTAGCTTGRTATTCAAAAGTCCATGTGATCAAAGTTTTGAAGGAACCAGTAATTGGTTTGAGATCCAAGCCTGAAGAACTCTTTGGATATTTATTTGAAGAGAAGAGCATGTTCTRTTTTATACCTGTTACAAACAACCAGTCAAAGCCTCATGCATGAGGTTTTTGCAAGGCTCTGGAACAAGCTAAAGATATAAAATGTGCTTTATTTAGCAGCATGCTGATTTACAAACTCAAAAACATCTTTTCTTCTAGCATGAGTGATCTTTGTTCTCCTTCCTACCTTTGTCTCATTAGTGGAATATTGATGCAGTTGGCAGAAGCAACAGCAGCAAAAGGAACAAACCTCCCTATAAGAGGCGAGACGCGCTGTAAAACACACAGAGAGGGGAAAAGAAGGAAAATAAAAATGTAGGTAATTATTGTCTTTATTGAAATGTTTCCTGTGCTAATGATAGATGAGACTTATTTCCTTTATATTAAAATTCWGTGAAAACTCACTGGTGGGCAGAGAACAAGAGTCAAACAAGAAAAAAGTAATAAATGCTTCTCTCCAGAGTGAGCAGTGGCAGGAGAGTGGAAAACCATTCTGAATTAGCATCACAGGGAAGTGTAATTACAACTCCAATTAAATTTTAAGTGCTATTAGATGCCTTGAGATGTGAAAAAGAAACAGGAAAAAAGGCACCTTATTAGACAGAGTTTGCATAAACCAAACATGGGCTGTTTGACAGATATGTACAAACCCATCTCCACAGGGAAAAAATAAGGTTGGGATCTAAAGAAAAGAGCAGTTATGGCAACTCCACAGAGGGAGCTGTGCACTACACAGATACACCAGAGGGGAAATGAGCTGTGAGCTTCTCACAGGACACCACAGTTTAGTAAGAATGGAAAAAAAAAACCCAGCAATACCTTTGCCAATGAATTAAGTCCTAAGGCTGTTGCGACAGCACCTGTGGTGGCAGAAACATAGGCTGTTCCCAGCTGGCTAAAACAGAAATGAAAATRTTTGCACATGCACAGCTACGTTCATGTCACTTTGAAAAAGAAATACATTTTACACATTATGCCCCCCCACTGGATGTTAAGAAGAAGTTTTTGTGCTACTGTAATAAGGTGGGGATGGAAGATCTAAAYGGAACACTGAATTAAACACTTTTATTTCACCAGCAGTAAAAATCATATTCAAACCACAYTGTAATACTGGATCAGGTTCTGCTGGTTGGGCATTGCTGCCTGTTCAGCATTTTCTCATGTGTCTGAATGAACACCTTGAAGGATTAGTTCTTATTTGATTTCCTAATTGCTTTMYCTAGTAAAATCAGTTTGGWTTTCCAAGGCCTTGTCTGTAAYAGTAATTAAAATCAACCATACCAARCCCCMYACACACAGACCAGCTRTRCTGCAAACACTCAWATCCARCCCMACCTGCCCCAAACCACACTTTACATACTCCCCAGCTAGGAGATGTCTGTAGGTGCTTGAACCCACAGTTTGCTCCCAGACACCTTTAACCAAGTCAGCCCCAAAACCAGAAAGTCRAGCCCTGCAATTCCAGTTTTCTATTCATAGAATCCCAGAATAGTTTGGGTTGGGAGGGACTTTAAAGTACATCCCATTCCACCCCCTGCCATGGGCAGGGACACCTTCCTCTATCCCAGAGAGCTCCAAGCCCCTTCCAACCCTGGATATTTCCAGGGATGGGGCAGCCACAGCTTCTCTGGGCACCCTGTGCCAGAACCTCACCACCCTCACAGCAGATTTTTCTGTTTATCCAACTAAATTTCCCCTCTTTCAGCATGGGATTTCTTGCTTTCTGCATCTATTTAGTCTCTTTTTTAGCCATCAAGCAGAAACAAGAATCAAGTAGACCAGATGAAGGAATCTCTTTTTGTCAATGAGCCCACAGTGTGGTGTGTGCTGGCACTGAGAGGGTGGCACAGTGACACAACTGAAGGCCCACACAAAATATCAGCTTAGAAATATCCTGGTATGACACCAAACTGATGAGGAACTTGCAAAAGCTCGACTGAGCCTGGCAGCATTAAGTCCTGCTCTGTTAAGTGCTCATGATCGAGGTGCTCAGGCTTGTCTTTAATGGCAGAAATGGAGTTTTTGGCTCTGCCATTCTCAGACTTCTCATCTGTGCATATCAAATTAATAATTAGGACAGAGGGCAAAACTAATTCCTGTCTTTCCTCAAACTTTAACACTCAACCATGCTCAAGAACAACAGAGAGCAACTTGGAAATTCATCAGAATTCTGTGGTTCAGTGCCTGACCTGAGACTGATTGGGGCATCCCCACTCCTGTTCGTGTAATTTACTACAGCATTGAAGGACTGGTTGACCCACTGCCAGAAAAGCACTGCTGGTGTCGTTCTGGAAAAGAGAAACAATTGTAATTATTACTATTATTATTATTAAACCCACAGGTGAATCAGCAGCACAGAAAAATGAGACAAATCAAGAACAGTCACCGCAAGCAGTAACCATGCTGAGGGTCTTTTTTATTTGAATGAAACAATACAGTCAGTGAGATACTGACCTGATAATAAAGAGTTTTTTCTAGAAGAAGAATTGAAAAATCACCTAGTTTTGAATSTGAATAATAGTGCAAAGGACAGGTGCAGAGCTGCTCGTGGTGTTTACATCATAACAGGACAAGCAGTTAACAGTGGGCAGTGCTTGGGAATGGGCAGCTGTGCTGAGAGTTTGATTCATGTTCTTGACTGCTCTTTAAGGCAGACATGTGTATTATAAGCACCATCCCAAACTGAGGTGTGTGTCAGGTGTTTGTATAATCTCAGCATCCAAAAGGCTGCTGCTGTTTCCTCTGAGCTCCCACCAGCTCCTGCATCCCGTGTCAAAAAGTATTTCTAACATCAAAGCTGCTAAAAGAGCTTCTGCTGTGAGCTTYGCTGTCCTGGGGATTCCAGAAGCACTGAGGAAATGCAGAGATCACAGGGGAGCTGGAGAAACTCCACAACCAATGGACTGGAGCATTCCCAGTACTCAGGTGGCACAAAGAACATCCTGCACCCCAACCAGGTTAGAAATTCCCAGGAGTCTTCTCTTTGTCCTCCACACAGATGGGATTTTGGAACATTTCCCAGAGGGAAAGTGGGATAGTGAAGGAGAGGGGCTAAAGGCTTACCTCTAAACTGCTTCTAGAGGGAACCTTAATGAGCACAAGGGAATGCAGAGAGAAAAGGAAGCAAAATTTCACATCTAAAAATATTTACAATAAATCTTTTGACAATATTATTCATTTTCTCTTCTCTAACTTGCAGGCAAATGTTTTATGTGCTATATTGCCATCACTCACCTGTAAAAGGTCATCATGCAGCCTGTGATAGTCATGTTCATGGGCACCTGGGCGGACATTCGGCCGATCAACACCATCTTCTCCCCGGTGTCTGGGTGAAAGGCTGAATCATAAATGTATTTTGCTCTCCACAACTCATCTTCTGTCAAGCCAGGTGCCACAATACCTTGTCTTGGGACAGGTTAAGAAACAAGACATCAGCAAAAAGCACAACTGTTATAAAATGCTCCGAACTCCCGTGAGTGTTGTGGCATCAGAGCATTCAGGGATATTCCCTGATAATTGAGACTCACAGATAGCCTGGACTGGTAAAATAAAAAGAATTAAAACTCCCAGCAGTGTTTATGTTGGCTGAGTCAATTTATTCAAACCTGTACTAGATCTCAGAGCCAAAATGTAGAGCCAAAATGTAGAGCCAAAATCTCTGGAATCATTAGTGTGAAACTTTGAAAATTCATTTTGAGAGTATTTAAGAAATCCCTTGCTCCAAACAATGCTACACATAAGAGGAAGTTTAAGCTTTTTTGTCATACTAACTATTTTCARAATTAGACATTTCTGTATTTCAGAACCCTAAACAGGGGCATAACTTCCCCCCATCCATTAACAAATTTGATTTAAAAAATAAAAGGGTTTCAAGCTCTGAAGTAAGAATGAGAAGTGGTGCAATGAACAAAGTRTTTTAAGTGTTTTCTTTTAAATATATCACCATATACTTATAATTAACTCTTGGGCCAGTAGTAGAAGTAGTCAATGTCATACCTGTAATCATGCACAATTTTTCTTGCATTTTCCAGTTTGGCATCAGATAACAAAATATTCCTGGGRTCTGTTACAGTGAAGAAGTGATTGGCTCGTCCAACAAAAGTGCTTTGATCCCATCGGGGCTCCTTGATGTTAATATTTAATGGTATATCTGCTGACATCTTCAAACGCTCTGCCAAGGAAACATCAACATTTGCAATTCAAAATTCCACTGATTTCTTARCATATCTATAATCTGCAAGATGAAAAATGGCCACATTTAGAGTAAAAAACCCAGAGAACAAACAACCGACCATTCRCAGAAGTGAGGTTTAAAGGAGCAAATCTACAGAAATGCTTCTGTGTCCAATGCCCCAAAACATTTATACATTATTTGTTACATTTGCATAAATACCTGAGGATGAGGCAGATTCAAAGCAATTATAGAAATTTATTAATGAACAGACATACWAAACAACAATATACTAATCAGAAAATGCTTCACTTGAGTAGTGAATTATTGTTTGYTGAAAATAATGTATTGAAGGGAAGGAGGAATGAACTATTTTAAGAGATGCCCGAAGTGCTATAAAGTGCAGTGACAGATGAAATATTTAATAAAATCCAGTTAACTTCTCTGGCATAGCAAAATAAACCAAAAATTAGGAACACAAACCCACCAATTAATTTTAATAAATGTTTTTTCTCTAAACCTATATTTTAACAAAACAGAGATTATATAATGCAACAATTTGCCACATTATGAACACATGACCAGATCTCCTAACGATACTTCAAAGAGGGTGAAGAACTACAGTGAAGGACAATGAACTAACAGACTTGTGCATTTGTGGGGCCCAGAAAAGTAAAAATTACTTCAGGATGACTACATTGACTTCAACATCTAATGATATTTAACAACCAGTTTAAAAAAAAAATCCTCTTCCAAATAATGCCTGCTCAAATGGCAGAAGGAAATCGGATCTATATAAATATATATTTATATATTTATACATTTAGATCCAATTTTAGATGATCTTTAAGGTCCCTTCCAACTCAAACCATTCTGTGATTCTATGATACCAGAAGGCTAATAAATGTGGTAYAGTTGGGGAAACCAATATTTTCATCCTTCTTCCATTCACATTTCTCTCTCTGTTAATATCATTGTAAGCACTGTTTATTAGTAGGATTATTTTCATGTGATACACCTCTCAACCAKRCACGYTGCAGGATGAACACAGACCWTRRRAATGAAAAAAAGACTCAGGACAGATTTGGAGAACAGATTTCTCATGCMCAGGATCTCAACAGGGGATGCTCCTTAGGTTTCTTTTCCCTTTCTTTCGCTTTACCATTAGAAACACCCTCCTGTGAGCAGAGCTGTGAACTCGCAGTCCATCTTCTGGTCTAAAACGGGAACTGCTCGTTTTGCAAAGCCCTATGAAGGCTTTATTCAAAYCCTCTTTTCCACCAAAATAAAGATAAAACTCAGGACATTACAAGTGGTAACTCGTTCTGTGACTGCTTCCCTTATTTATAGGAAAGTCCAAGTGTAAATATTTTTATAATTAAATGATCCATTTCATTAAGAAAGATTAAAACTGCTTAGGATAGCTTATGATAATCTGGTTAAAGCTGTCTAATGAATGCTGAATAAAGCAGTGCATACACACAAGCTTTTTTTCTCTTTATTATGGTGAGTTCTTCCTTTTCACTCTGATGAGCATATAGATTACTGGGCTCCCTGTGAATTCCCTTCATATATCTCTGATACAAACTCAAGCCACTTAATAAMAAGAAATTAAAACATTAAAGATCTGCCTTGACTGCAGATGCCTCATGGTTCAATCACGGATTTTCTCAATCTGAAACAATCAGAAAAGGTGGATGTACCCAACACAGAAGATTAAACACATTCACATCCTGCTTTTATCCCCTCCCCACTTTATCTACTCAGTGCCTGCTCTGATGCTCCTTGACCCACGAGTGCTGATGGAATTTACTGCCTGGGCAGGAAACTGGGGAGGAATAACCCAAACTGGGGGAGCTCCAGGGAGCAGCTCTGGGAGCSCTGCTGGACAATGGGCTGTGACCAGCAGGGTGAACTGGACACCAAAAATGCCCATTTACAACTTTTCCAGCAAAATGTTTTTACAACAAAAGCTCCAACTCTTGTTTTACAGTGACTGTATGATGCTACTCATGACTTGCCAGACCCTATGAATAAATGCTGAAAAGGGAAATAAATCCCATAAAACAAAAACGTAAGCTAATGAAATCTAACATACTTCAAAGGGCTCCTCTTGTAAAACAAAATGTCCAACTATAAAGTAAAAGTGGTGACTGGACAAAAAATGATTTCATCAATATATTGTCTAACAGCCACAGAATCATCATCATAAACTATATGGCTTTTTTAAAATTTCATTTTTAATTTAAAGTGAGACTGTAAAACTGCAAGAAATAGGTGCAACACCCTCAATTTAAGTTGCTGCAACAGTATTTTACCTACCTGTCACCTTAATTTTCAGATCCAATTTCAGAGGGGTGCTGCTGTTTGCATAATCCATTCAAATACCCCATAACAAAAGCACTGTAATAAAACTACTTAAGGTTTAATTATTATTTTAACTACAATGCTTTGTCAAGGSTGGAACTCCACTACCTTCAGTGATATAATTTTCCATCTGTACTAAGTGTGCCCAAGATTTAAGTTCTCATTATCCATAGTTGAATTGGGTAAAGAAAAAAGTATATTACATTAGGGTTAAATTGAATTTAAATAAATCCATCTGAACCTTGAGATAAGTAGAAAGTTTGCAAGGGAACTGGAAGGTGAAAGCACAATAAAGATAAAGACAAAGATAAAACTATTTGCTTTGTTACAGTCAACTAATGAAGGCAAACTACCTAACCATTAATTAATTAGTTAAGATGCCTATATATGTAAATATCTGCATTTATTGCTTCCATCTGCTGCCATCCTGTAAGTACCAACTTATCCTGAAATAGGATAAAATTTTTAATCAACAGCACCTTAAATTTTAAGGTRGAAGCAGCAAAATTGCCCAGGCTGATATTGAAACAACTCTTCTCCACAAAGAGTGCCATTAACAGAGGATTTGGGAAACAAWCWGAATTTTACAAACACATTAGCTTTYGTAATAATCTGTAYTGAAATGTCACTTTGASGTTATGTTCACACAGGAGGATCAGCAGGACTGAAGAGGATAAGAAATGACCCTGTAACGCAGTCAAACAATTAACAACTATCACAGAAAACAGACAGTAAGAGAGAGAACAATTCATATTTTCACTATTTCACATAACAGATCAATTAGAAAGGTATTTAATAGAACCACTTGTACCTGGAAACCCTGCAGCTGTTTCCCCCAGAGAATTAAACCAGCAATAAAGGACGGACTATGCTCTCTGGCACATTCATATCACTRAACCCTTTCAGTTTCCAAACTAGAGCAGCTGTATCCAAACTSCCCGTGGAGAAGAGCAGCTAAATCCTGCCTTGTGCTGCCGGATTGTCTGGCTGAGCATCAGCAGTCCCGGGTAAAGCTGGGTGAACACTAATGGGGGATGGCATTCCCGTGACCAGGGACATTTTTTGGCACTGTTTRTCTCCCCAGCAGTGACACTGAGGTTTGATTATCCACGTGTTCCACACTGGATACACTCTTTTCATGTATCAAGTTTTCAGAGTCATAACTCACAGCGAGTTCATAAAGTTTTTCCTGAACTCCTGACTGTGTTTTATTCCTGTGAGGAAAGGCTGAAGGAATTGGGATTGTTCAGTCTGGAGAGGAGAAGCTTTGGGGTGACCAAATTGTGGCCTTCCAGTACTTAAGGGAGCTCAGAGGAGAGATGGAGAGAGACTGTTTACAAGAGCCTGGAGTGACAGGAGAAGGGGGAATGGCTTCAAACTGTCAGATAATAGGGTTAGATTGGATTTCAGGAAAAAAACCTTCCCTGTGAGGATGGGGAGGCCCTGGCACAGGGTGCCCAGAGAAGTTGTGGCTGCCCCTGGATCCCTGGAAGTGTCCAAGGCCAGGCTGGATGGGCTTGGAGCACCCTGGGATAGAGAAACGTGTCCCTGCCCATGGCAAATTTCTTGCCCTCTCTGATCAGATGGAATCATCTGCCAGTTCATGMTCTAATGTTTAATACTAATATTAACTGGAGGGAATAAAGGGCTTAAGAATAAGTGAGAGTGGCCTCTCTCAACACAACAATTACAGACAAAATCTGCACAAAGTCTGACCAACAGTTTTGGTACAAAGGCTACGTTTAGATTTTCCACAGAAGCAGCAATAGCAGGAGACTTTAAACCTCGTTTAAAGGTTAACAGTAGTTGYAGCAATTGTACAAAATGCAGATTCAGGAGTTATCAGGAGTTCAACTCTCTGCTGTTCCTTTTCAAAGTTCATCTTTCAAACATCACACTGAAGGTCATGTAAGCACTTTTCAAACCAAAGCAACACTAAAAGAGTAGCAACTACAATTTAATTTATTTCGGACAGTAACAAACCACCCAATTTTGAACAACCCAGATATCTGATCACTTATTTTACACCGTGTTGCATGCCGAATAACCCAGATGGGCAAATGATCCGGGAAATTCTGGGCAACTTAAACTTATGCAGCACTGCACAAATGAAAAAATGCAGCTTTGCTACCTTCCTTGGAACCATTTCTATTTTCTTATGTTACTGACACCTTGTATTTTAACCCAAGCCTTGAAAAACACCATTACTAAGAATTTTCRTCAATTTCTTTACAGTATCATCTAAAATTGGGACCAGAGTGACAGAAAAGGAAATTTCATGATGATGTAACTGTGAATCCAGGGAGAAGTCTAAAGAGAATTCTACACCCAAAAGTGGAGCAGATAGAACTGTGATAATGCTCAATGCGACATTTGACTTGTGAGTGCCCAGTTCCCAAAATGCAAATTCTGTTACAAAGCACAGGATGTGCTGGGTTATCCAGCTTAAAAGAGAATTCCAACCAGCCTGCACAAATGCTGAAAGAAAGGTACAATTTTTTTTCAAAGGTGGTGTCCTTCACCAGGATTTAGACCCATAAGTTCAGGTGATGTAAAGGTGCTCAGGGCAGATAATGATTCACAAAGTATTCTAGAGGTAACTAAGAATTCTTTCTTTAAAAAACAAGAGTGAGGCTTTTCCCTGGAAACCCAGTAAAAATAGAAGGTAACAGCAGAACCTCTTTCTTCACAGAATTCTTTASGATAGGAATAGTTCAAAAGTTAGAGCCAGGTGCTGCTGATATTTCATGTGCAGACTCACTGTGAGAGACAAAAATAAGATTTGACACACTTAGCTCCCTACATCTCCATTCTTTAAAGCTGTTCTTTAAGAGCCTGATGTCCAGCTGTCAGTGCCTTGTTCTGGGAAATGAGATTCTGCCTGGAAAATCCTGAGGTAGAGAAAGGCACCTGCTGTTACAAAATGGGGAGAAGAGGTTCTTCCTCTGACACATTTATAAACCAAAGTGCCCATGGCTGCTTGTTTTTGTAGGGCTGAGTTCTTCTGAAACATTTCCCATGCCACTTTTCATCTGAGAGAAATACTCAGGGGTCCTGTTGGGCCTTTTTATTCCTCAAGTATCACACTGTTTGTTTTTTGGGGCTCCTTTGTCTGAACAAACTCAATATTTTTTGTTTCCAATGACCAATTTTCCACAATGCCCACCCAAAGAGCTGCTGTGTTGGCTKAGGAGAAAAGACAGGAAATAAACCTCCCTCTGATTAGGAAAAAAAATGACCTGTTCTACTTGAAAACTACAACACACTGGCAAAGCAACAGCARAAAGGCAAACCCATGTTTTAATTGCTCTGGCAAAGAAAAGAACACAAGAACTTCTCCAGGGATGTCAGTCATGGCAGTTAATTAGTTCAAATGGGAACTAACAGACTTTTCGGGGGGAAAAAAGCACTTTTGTGTGGTGGCAAAAGAGCACATGTAAGACTTATCAGAGTCTGGAAGCARCAGTATTCCTCTATTTGAAGCACATTTGCTGCCACAGTCTGAAATAAGCAGCACAGCTGATGACTGGGAGTCTGATGCAATGTACTTACACCAAATGTTAAAGCCACTTGCCAAGTTTTTTCTTTCCCAAAGCACCTTCTACCAGTAAAATGCCTACTTAAATCACCAGGGGGGAAAAAAAAAAAATCTTGTCTGCACTATGATTTTTCCTACTGCAATCCTAAATGGAATACTGGAGAAGGCCAAGCATGACAACACTACAAGATACTTTTTTTTTTTGCTTATAAATGTACATCCCACTTGTAGCCTAGCAACAAAAGCAGCAGCCTGGGTGAGATGAGCCTGCTGCTGGGGCTCTCTCCTCAAAACAGGAGCCATCTTTGGCGTGTAACTTGACCAGAGATTTCATCATTCTGCATTAAAGCCAGCTCCAGATGTTAGAGATCCCTGCAGCCAGCTCAGCAGGGCTGGCTTTGCTCTGCCACCTCCTCTCCCACTTCAGGAGGCACGGCCAGACACACCACACGTGTTCACCTCATCTCCACGTAAAGAAAAATAAACCTCCTTTGCTAACCGAGGTTAGTGTAACCTTTCATTTCAGTCCTGACTGCTGCAAGCTTGTTTCTGCTCCTTRTGTTTTAACCCCCACCAATAAACTGCAGTAGGTTCGGCTCTACCCCAGGTGTGCTCATGGCCCTCTTCTGTACTTTTTCACTATTTCATGTATCTTCTTCCATATAGGAGATATTTTACTTGCATATTGTTACAAAGCCAATCTTCACCCCCATACCATTATAATAACAACAAATTATTCATAATTCAATCAAAAAATTATCAATACTCATAATTAAAATTTCTGTCTCTGGCTATCAGAGTCTGACCTTGGAGTTATTTGGCGTGTTCCTCGCCTGGAAAGGATGACCCTGCAGCAGGGAGGTTTGTCTCTCGCAGGCCTGGAATCTGTGCCGCTGTCACGCAATGCCTGTGACTCAGAGCCCTGCTCAGGGGACAGCAAGCGGTCAGAGGCAGATTTTGGGAGGGAGTGGGAACGCAGGGAGCGGTGATGTGTGCGGGGGGGAGGGGGCTGTGGCAGCCCCACAGTGCTGGCTGTCTGCACTGCCATGCCCAGCCCTGCTCCTGCAGGGACAGGGGGGTGACACGTGGGGCTGGAGCCCTGGGCAGGTGACACGGGTGACACGGGTGACACGGGTGACACACACAGAGCCGGGCCCTATGGAGGGGATGGGCTGACATCTGGGGCTGGACCCCTGTGGAGGGGACAGACTGACAAACAGATCAGGGCCTCTGCAGGKTGACAGAGGTGACACGGGGGGCTGGTCCCCTATAGAGGGGCCGGGGTGGCATTCGGGGCTGGACCCCTGTGGAGGGAGCTGGGGTGACAGATGGGACTGGATCCCCGTGGAGGGGATGGATGTGGCARACGGGGCTGGACCCCTTCGGTGGGGAGAAGCATCACAAACAGATCAGGGCCTCTGCAGGGCGACAGAGGGGACAGATGGGGCTGGGTCCSTGCGTTGGGGATGGAGCAGCACGGGGGGCTGGCTCCCTGTGGAGGGGGCTGAGGCGGAGCYGGGTCCGTGCCCGGCCGCCAGCGCAGCACCGGGAGCGCCGCCGGCCCCGGCTCCTCCGCCCGTCCCCGCCGCAGCCCATCCCCGGGGCCCGGTACTCACCCGGCCGCCGGCCCCGCGCCGCCCTGGCCCCGCTGCCCGGAAGAGCCTCGCTCGGTGCCGCGGGCGAGGGGCCGGGGAGGCGGCGGGGCCGCCCCGCTCCGCTCCGCAGCTCCGCCCCGGCGGGGCCGGGCAGGGCCGGGCTGTGCGGGCACCGCCCGGGGCCGCCGCTCCCAGCTCCGCCCGCTGCCCTGCGAACGCTCAGCCGCGGCTGCCTCGCGTTCTCTCACGGTTAATGGCATTAATGGTTTAATAGAATATTCCGTGCTGGAAGGGACCCGCTGGGATCGTCAAATCCCGGCTCTGTACAGCCCCAACAATCCCACCGTGTGCCTGAGAACCCTTTCCAAACAAACGCTGCTTGATCTCTGTTAGGCTTCCCTGGAGAGCCCAGCCACCCTTTGAGTGCAGAACCTTTTCCTAATTTCCTCGCCTGACACCGCTCCTGCCGTTCTCTCGGGTCCTGTCACTGCTGCCCCTCCGCTGCCCCTCCCGAGGAAGCTGCAGATCGCAACATCACAAAATCACAGAATATTCCGAGTTCTAAAGGACCCCCGAGGAAGCTGCAGACCACAACATCGCAAAATCACAGAATATTCCGAGTTCTAAGGGACCCCCAAGGATCACCGAGTCCAGCTCTTAAGTATGGCCCCGAATGGCCCATGCGGGGATCATGATGAGGTCTCCCACATTTCCTCCAGGCTGTCCTGGATTGGGATTGTTGCCACAGGGTTATTTTCAGAAACCCAAGGCACACTAACGCCCCCAAACCTGGCGATGAGGGACAATAACGTGCCGCGTGTAAGGACAGCGCCGGCAGCTCAGGAGGCTGCTCTGAAGGTCGCTCAAGTACGAGCGCTGTCACATCGCTCACGCCTAAAAGAGGAGGTAAAAAGTGCCTTAGCAGCCAGATAAGGAGCATCCGCATGTCACCGTCACCCTCCGCTCGAGCGGGACATCCCCAGCCTGGCTCCCAGCTCCTAACTCTGGTGTCTGCTGCGGGCTCTGGGAAGGCAGCAGTTTTCAGGGCAGGATGTGCCTTCATCTCATTTCAGCAATYCCAAGCCTCTGCAATGCCAGTACTGATGCTCTGGATGCAGTTGTGGAAGAGAAGCGGCACTGGGACAAATGGTGGCCTCCCCACTSTCATTTTCCTTCTTTCTGTTATTGCCAGGGKTGGCTGGGCTGCTGTGAAAATAGAAACACTCAGGAATTTCAAACCTTCTGATTTGTTTTTTTACTGCCCCTGACGTTCACGTGAGTCCTGTGCTCCCTCCCCTTGGTCCGCTAATTCCAGGTGTCCCTGTGCCTGTCCGGGGCACAGGGATGGGGACCTTTGGGATTGGCGGGGACACGGCCACAGCACCGGGACACAATTTATGTATTTTCCTGCTAAAGTCTAATTTTTTAAAATTTTGTCAGTTAGATCCCAGTCTCCATGAGCACTAACAGATCCAACACTGATACGTGTGTGGTGGTATCATGATGAGGCCATAACATTTGTTGCCAAAAAACAAGGCAATGACTGAGCAGAAAAGACACCTTGTTCAGAAAATGGAAACAGCTGCATGTTGTGCATAGAAATAAATCAGTTGTTTTTGGGCATAACTGGTGTTATTTTTATGGTTTGCATTCCAAGCACTGATGTTTTCTGCCTCTAATAATTTTCTTGTATGCCAAAGGTACCAACTTGTTAATCTGATTTAAAACCACACATGGACTTTTCTTCACGTCCCAGTTGAAATTCTGCTTGCAGAGTATTTAATGTGGATATATGAATACCTAAATTCTTTCTCTGGGTTGCTACATGCAAAGCTGTGTGAGTTAATCATTTGCTCTGGGCTCTGTGTGGCTGTTCAAAACCATCAGTGCAGATGGTTTTGAACAGCCACACAACTTCTCTTTCACTAGACGAGTCATTTCTGCCWTTGCTGAGTAACAAATCTGATATTTTGCCATGAATTCTGAAAAGGCTCGAGATGGCTCTGAGCAACCACTGCCAGTTACTCATGAGCTACATACTGAAAGGCAAATGGGAGAATATGGGTAGTCACAAAGAATATCTGATCTCTGACCACGTGTCCTTTTTCATCTGCACTGATTTTCACACTAAAATGTTTTTGGCTGTATTCAAAATGTATGGCTGGATTAATCAAAGAAACCCTACCCCAGCTCCTTTTGAAGCATTCCTTTCAGTTGCTTTATTTCCCAAGGAATATATTAATAAGATTCCTGCAAACTCCCAGATGCATTTATTGAACTAGGGATGAATTTAACCATCTGCATGTTTYCACCTGGAAGAATTCCCAGATTGCAAAAGGGCAAATTCTTCCCTACACTGACAAAAAAGGAGGATTTCTGTTCCTCTACAATTATCACCTCATTTAAGAAATGAGTTTTATTGTATTTGCTTTCCTCTATTCCTAAGTGAGCATTATTGTTTTTTATATTTTTCTCCATTTCAAATTGGCCCTGGCAATCAAMTGAGTAAATGAAGAGCTSTTGCACACGCTTTTATGAACAGAARTGTCCTGTAAGTGGCACTGCAGGACCGGGAATTCCAAACCCTGGATTACAAACAGCACAGTCAGAGGAAAAGCAAACGTGGGAGACGTCAAGACTTTTCTGCTCCATGAGAAAAGTAGTTTTAGAGCTGTGGGGAATGATGAGATGACAATTCTGGAGGCACAGTGCGAGGATCTGGGGTATATTCAGCTGCTGGCTCTGGAATATTCTGTCAGGAGCTGGCCTTGGCACCAGGCTGGCTGTTATCAGGGGTTTGCCAGAAGGAACCATCAACATTTCTGGGAATTATTCATCAGCATTCCATGGGAGGTGCCTGTCAAGGCTTCGTGCTGGGTTTTGCTGTCAGGAGCAGAATGCCGGGCGAGGTGAACCACGTACATCCAGCATTYCCTGTGGTCTCCTGACCTAATGTAYRYTAATTTTATGTAGAGAATCYARACTCCAGACTACAAGGGACATCAGTGCAGTCTGAGGGAGTTCAAGGATTGTTTCTATAGATGAGCCAGAGACTTCTGTGAGTCTGTGTCAGTACATCAAAAACCACCACCCTGTTTTCCCAGTCTCGGCTAATAAGGAATAAATTATTACCTTGGGGAATTTGATCAAACAGGCAAGTAACACAACATTTTTTTTTGCAGTATAAATTGTAACAAAACTCTTACATAAGCTGATAGAGTGTTACTTACAAAATCACTTAAATGCTTTGGCTCCATCTGCAATATTTGAACTCAGTTCCAGGTTACTCATGCTCTACTGTGCCAAGCTAAATTAAWGCATACTCAATTTTCCTCTCTCTCTAGATGCACAGTTGTATYGGATAAGAATGGAAGGGAATAAAAATGAGAAGCCAATCTGCATTTAGAAAGGACATAAAGCTGTGTTTAAAAGGATAAACCAGCCTTTTAAGGGGATTAGGAAGCCATTTCCTCTGTGATGTAGCTATTTTACAAATGTCTCATGTGGGATCATTGCTGCCATGAAAGATCTGTGCCAGCTGCTCTTGGCCCTTGACCAGGCAGAGTGATCTGGGATGTCAAAATACCCCTGTGGGGACAAGAGGAGGTGTGGGAACATCCCACAGGACACRGGGTCTCACAGCTCCTTCAAACAGAGCTGACAATTTGTTTTCATCACTGTCTAGGGACCAGATATTGCTGRATCATTTTACTTTCACCTCTTGAGCCTTTCCTGTGGCTTTATAAAGCAGTTAAAAATATGAATTCAAGGTGTGTCACCACAACAGTGACAAAGCATGTCATGTATGAAAAAACAGGACACCACAGGACAACTGGGAATGGCATTTGGGATGTCACAACACACAAGGAACAACACCTGACACTGTGCCACAGCCCGGTGGATATACCTGAAAGCTGACAGAAATGCCCASAGAGCAGTGAGAGATTCATAGTGGCAGGAAATTCCTGGAAATCTATGGAATATGTCTAGAAAAATGACGGAAAGTCCTAGGAAACCACAGGGAACTCATGGAAAAATATGGGAAATTCTTAGAAAGGACAATTTAATTCCTAGAAAGCTGTGGGAGGAGTCCAGGAAAACAAAATGCGAGTTCTGAGAAAATTGGGTACAAATTTTCAGGAAACTGGAGGGAATTTCCTGTGAAGTAAGGAGGAATTTCTATAAAGCAGCAGAGGAATCCTAGAAAGAAAGGCACAATTCTTAGAAAGCTGTGGAAAATTTCTAAAGAGCAGAAGGGAACTTTGGGGAAGAAGAAGGGAATTCCTATAAATAGTACACAATTACTGGAAAGCACCAGGGAATTTTCTACTGACATGGAACATGTTCCTGGAAGATATCCCTGTTTTCAGGCTGTCCTAAATGGAGAGGACTGCTTTGATGGRCTGAGGAAAAGCCACTGGATGCTTGTGTTGGTGGAACTGAGCCCTGGTGAGCTTTGTGGGAAGGGAGCAGGSAGAATTGGCTGCCTTGGAAGGCCCCTGACCTTGGCACAGATGCTGACAAGTGGAAAATGAAACTCAGGGAACATTTCCAGCCTGGGAAAAGTACGGTCTGTTAGAGACTGTCACAGCAACACAGGGTAGGGAAAGCCAAGGACATCAAAGCAGGACGCAAAGAGGGAGATGTTACTCATGTTAGGGGGAAGAAACAGCCCTGTGGTGGGACAGACATGGAGGCTGAACAGGGTAACAGATGCAGGTGAGCAAGGGTGAGAGAGAATTTGGGATTGCATCATGGTTTGGGGTAGTTGGACCACAGGGCTTTTCAAAAGTTTGAATGAAAGTTACGTTGGGAGGAGAGAAGTAGCCCAAGGTTTAAACCTTGATACGGATTCTCATTTGGAATATTGTTCCAGTGTTTTATTGAACTTGGTGGGATGTTTCTGACTGCTGTCAGCCCAGACTGTGTGATCTGACTTTGACAAGCAGCCTTGGAGAAGAGTTTAACCCCAGAACATGAAGGTGGAACTGCAACATCGCACCGGCAGCGGGGCTGTCTGGGGAGCTGCAGATGGGAAAATGCTGCCTGAGACAGCAGAGCTGCAGGACTGGCACATTTGGGGTGGTCTGGTCGTTTCTGGGCTGCTGTTTGACCCTGTCTGCTGTGCTCCATGGGCACCGTGGGGCTGGTGCCCTGGCAGAGAGCCCTGGCTGGGCTCTCATTGCTTTCTGTGGCCGCTCTGAAATGCTGCTGCCAGTCTCCACTACCAGCAAGAAGTGATGCTTCTATTTTTTTTGGTAAGAATTAGCTTAATTGTCTTTAATCCAAAGATTTGTAGCCTGCCAGGGCAGAGCTGTGGAGCCTGATCATGCTGGATGTGTAATAATTGGATTTATTAACCAGATGTAGGGCAGATTATTGCTCACTTGCTGTGGGTGCCAAGCACACTCTTCATCATCATGTCCTGCACCAGAAACACACAAAAATCTGCTGTTCAACAATTTTTCTGTTAAACATTTCTTCCCCATCCATCAGTCAGGGCCTGGGCTGGAATATGGGTAAGATCTATTTGATGCTGGCACACAGCTCAGGAGTAAATCTGCAAGAGCAGCTTAGGAGGGAGAGTGCCACCTACCAAGCCATCTGCTGAGAAAATTGTATTAAAGTATCTGCAGTCTCATCCACTGCTGCTAGAAATCACTGTCACACTCATCGGTGAACAGTTTTGCTACTAATATATCTATTTGTATTCTTTTTCTCCATCCCCTCAGAATTAATTATTCCTCAGATTAATTTCATTCTAATGAATCATTGTGTATCTCTGGTTTTATTTCATCTCTGAGATACTAATTAACATGTCAAGGCCATCTTTAACGTGAAAAGTGCTGTCATTTTCTCCGTGACTTTTCTTTTGAATCACATATTTAGTTTTTTTCTTCTGAGGGCCTAAAATGTCCATCCAGTGTGGAGTGAAATAAAAAATTAAAGCTGCACAGTAGTAAAAAAATATGCATATGCAAATAAAGCCTGGATTGGGAGGCAATGGCCCAGTCTGTATTTTTGTGCTGAATTACTATTTTATGAGCCATTTCGTATAGTAAATCCTTAGSAATCAGCTCTGTAGGGTTTTAATGCACATGGATTAGAATRTAAAATTCAAGAGCACATCCAGTGTCTAGACTTATTAGTGAAATGATCAGAAATGTTGAGGTGTTCGATATTTGTTGGTGTAGATTAGGTTTTAAAGAAAGACTCTTGTTAGTTTGCTGTGGATTTCCTGGCACTGTTGTGCTGTGCCGCAGGGATGAGGCAGTCAGAGGATGCATTTTCCTTTCCTTAGAGCTCTCCTCTCAGCTATAATTTATTCTCATCCTCCTCTGCAGTTTGGCTCTCTACCCACTCTGGAGGGAAGTGTTGGCAGGGCAGTAATCCCTCTCCTGCCCCGTATCTCTGGCAGATGGAAATCCCAGAAAGAGAAGGGGAGAAATTTTAGATTTCCCTGCTCGAGCCATTCCCAGGGGGATTTAACATACAGTAAATGGCCTTTGGATTGATGGAGCAGGTTGAGCTGCAAGAGGAAGGTCACTCCAAGTATTCCTTGTGGGAAACTTTTCTTTCTCTGGTCCTGTGGGAGTGAGTGGGTGGAACTGGAGAAACCCCATAAAAAGTCATTTCATGAGCTCTGCGGATTAAATAACACAGTTATTGGCAGCATCACACTGAGTTTAAATTACCCACAGCTCCTGGGGCTGGGGACTGTGCAGGTGACAGCTTCTGCTCAGATCCCTGGCAGCAGGTCTGGTACTTCTCTTTCTTTCCTATCTTCCTCATCTCTCCCTTTCACACTTTCACACATGGTATTTCTCTCTGGGCTTTTTCGATTTTCCTTTTCCCTGTCAGTGCTCAGATTTCCTCACATAGTTCCTCAATACCCAGGGATGCTCTGTGGCTGCCATTGGAAAAATAGCTCCCAAGTCAACATGCACAAGGGCACTGATGTGCTTTTTGAGATCAGTTCTGCTGAATCCACCAGACACTGAGGGCCAGCTGCACTGACTACAATCTACAATCTACAATCTACAAAATACCCACACTCAAATCCTGAATATTTAGGCCTCTTGTTGTCAGCGTTTGGGGACTAGAAATCATTTCTCTCACTGATCCTTTCTCCCTGCTGATGGATCTTTATCATTCAAGAGTGAGCTTGAGATCCTTGGAGATGTTAGCAATGTTGTTTTTTTTTTTCTGCTGCCACTCTTTGCTCTGTGCTTTTGCAGTCACTACTGTGGTTTTCCCTGCGGAATACACAACATGAKAATATCAATCTAAACGACGTGCTTCACTGATGTTTAAAAGAGTTCATAGCTCTTTCATTTCCAGGAACCCTTGACTTTTCCAAGAAGGTTACATCAATGCTAAATTTATCTTGGCTTATTAGTATAACAACTTATTTACAAATCTGACATCTCTTCTAGACATTATTTCTGATAATATGCCTCAGCTGATTTAATGTTTAGTAAATCCCATGCTTGCAGACATGAAAAGTCATCCTGAGGGTGATGTGAGCACAGTTTGTATCCACATACTGTAATAYGTTTTGTAAATTCAGCTGCCTCTCTCCAGATGTAGTGTGTGCACTGTTTAAGTTAAAGGATGTTCATYTCTGAAAGCAAAATCTGAGCTTTGTTCAACTCGAGACTTGGTATTCCAGTAGCTAATTTCTGCTTGAATTAAGATAATTTTGATCAAGGTGCTCCTCACTATCTATATTTTTAAATCTTCATATGGACCAGGTTGGACCTTCTCCAACCAGAGTCCCCTGGAAGGTGCAGGTGGGAATGAAGACACAAAATATTTCCTTTGCTGGGCATTTCTTTGATTCCAGCAGCAGTCAGCAGTGATTGAAAAGCATTAAATAAARTTAAGCAGCTGTTTTATGTGGATACCTGGGGAGAATTTAACAAGCTCTGTGCTTGTTTCTGAATCTCCAGCAAACACCTGCACCATCATCCTGATCCTGACAGTTTCAGGCAAGTCCAGAGCTGGACCAGAGCTGATCCTSCTCACATTGGCTGGGGACAGCTTGGCCAGAGAGCAGCAAAAGGAAAAATGACCCAACACTTGTTGGCTCCCAGACTCATGTCAATCTGCTGCCTAAACCCACCATTAAATTCACCTAAATAACAATAGGAGTTTAGTGGATTACACTTTTATTCCTCACCTGGCTATGACTRCTCTTAAGTCAGGAAAGTTTTAAAAACTCATAAACTAGCTGAAGTGACAAGTGAGTACAGCAGGGTGCCCTGGATGAGCTGCTGGTGTTTGAAGTTGCTGAAGGGGCTTTGCAGTCGGGGCTGAGCCTGAATTCTCATTCATCTCTGGAGTGGCCACACAAACTTAGAGAAGAGACAGGAGAGAAGCTCTGGCTTCTGAAGCGGATACTTGAATTGCCAAAAAAACCCAGGGGCTGTGAGAGTCTTCTGGGTTGCTGTGAGTAGGAATCTAAAAGGGTTTTTTTATTGTCATACTCAAATGAAACTCTCACTCATATGAGCAACATTAGGTTCTTCCAATGCTGAATTCAGCCTCTTCCCCAGGGAAGGTCACTCCCTGGTAAAAATGAACTGAAGAGTTCTCTGCATGAGCTGACAAGCAGATATTTGAGACCAGACAACCCTTTCCTCTGCAATGTGTACCTTAACATTTCTTTCCAATATGCCTCAAAAATTTTGCTTTTTGTGTGGTTACATGGTGTGATTTCTCCTGGAATAATCCAGGATGGCTCTGGTCGAAAGTCATTTTAGKAGAGCCTCTGGAAGTTGTTTCAAATAAAATCAAATGTGCTCAAGTGTCTTCTTATGCAGGCAATGCTCCCCTCAGCTCAGGGTTTCTACAGGAAAACAGGAATGTGCCACCTTTGCAGAAAAYACTTATCATGCACAAAACCTCAGCTGTGTGGTGCTTTAAAAACAGGAAACAAAAGGAAAAGARTCTTGAAAATAGAAAAAGAAAACTCACAGTGAGTTTCATTAGAGATCTCGATTACCAAACAGYGCAGGATTCATTTTCTTGTCTATTTTCACCCTCCTCTGGGGAAGAATGATGATTAAAGGACAAGATAATAAGCAGGGGGAGGACGGGATGAGAACTTGGTGAGAAACAAGTTAAAATTTATTWAAAAAGAAAGATAAGGGGAAAGAAAAACAAGTGTTTCAGTTAACTAGTCAAGATTAGCTTCCCATCTGCTTTAAGCGACATAATGATAAATTATAGGTGGCTCAAAAGCAACTTTAAAAGTGCTGGATGGACCTCACAAAATTTATCGTGGCAATTTAGAGTATCTGTTCTTCTAGGAGGTTTTTAAACCTCCCTGTGATGTCTTTCATATTTATTTTCTGATTTTTTGRGGGGTAAGATTCCTATGCAAAGGYTGCAAATCAGCATGTTCAWCTCTCACTGCCTGTTGCAGCTRAGGTAAGCSAGAAAAGACCCTTTTGTAGGACGGATTTGAGGAAGAACCTCTCTGGTTTTTGGTGCTCACCAACGGACGAGGAGGGGGTTTGCCAAAAGGTTTTGGGGGGAGCTTTTGGTCTGCTCGGACGGGCTTTCCCTGCCCTGGGGGTGCCCGCTCGGGGCTCCGGCGGCTCCGCAGTGTTTGTAGGGACAGACCCTTGCTGAGCCCGCACGGTTCAGTGGAGATGCAGGAACCTGTCCGTGAATTTTCCCCGCCGCCTGCCCGCAGGATAGCGATGCCGGCCGCGGATAAGGATGGGGTGGGAGCGGTGGGGGACGCTCGCAGCCGCTGCCCCCGTTGTTGCCCACGCCCGGCGSGGCGGCGGCCGCCCAGGAGAGGGAGCCCGGCGGCCGCGGCTGCGCCGGGAACCGGGGGCTGCGCCAGGCTGGGGGCGGCGCGCAGGGAGCGCTGCCCCGGCCGAGCCCCCAGCCCCGGCCCCTGCCCTGCTGTACCGGGAGAGGCTCCCGAGCGTGTCCCGGGCTCTCTCCGCTCCCCCGATCGCGGTGCCTTCACCCCGCGGCCCCTCCCGAGCATCGCCCGTCGCGGAGGCGCGGGGCCGCTACTCACTGTCCGCATCAGCGCACCGAGCGCGGCTCTCAGCGCCCCGCGCGTCCCGCAGCTCGGGAAAAGTAATCCCRGCTGAGCTAAACTCCAGCAGAGCCGCTCCCGGAGCCCCGCTCTGCCTCTCGCCCCGGCTTTCCGAGACGTTATTCCCCACGAAAGCAGGAAAAGCTGCCCAGAAGAAGCGGCGCCCGAGCGAAGATGTTAGAGGAGGCGAAGGGGGGTGGCTTTTTGCCCGCTGCGTGCCTCCATGCCTGTCATTCCCTTGTCTTAATCCTTTAGGAAGGAGTCGGCAGGCAGACAGAGCGTTCCTGGAGGGGCGATGCTGCCGAGCCCTGCCCCGGGCAGGAGGAAGCCGGGAGATGCGCGGCCCGGGGCGGGCTGCGGGAGAGTGTGAGGAGCTGCCTCCGCCTGCGCCTTTCCGAGAGGGAAAAAGCATGGTAAGAGCTGGACCCGATCCCTGGAGCGCAGCCCCACTGAGCGGGAGGTGGGATTATTCCGGAGTAGTTATGGAGAGCTATAACCTGGCAGCGGGGTGTTAAAGCGACTCGTCCCTGCTGGAGGAGGAACCCATTGCGGGCATCGCCGGCGCCGCCGCCGAGGGAAGGTCACTCGGGTCCTTCTCTTCCTCTCTCCTGTTTCTTCATCCGGCAAACGACAGAAGAAAAAACTGGTAATCGGCTCTTGCCAGTGTTGGGAATACCGTGCCTTTTGCCTGGGATGATTTGCCCCGATGTGCCGCTTCAACGGGATATACAAAGTGCGACTGGGACTGATCCGGCCAACAAAGTTTGCGGAGTGATCAGCAGGGGCCGTGGGATGGAGGGAGCCGGGCACACACCAGCAGGGTCCGTCACGCACGGTCCGACAGCACAGACCTGCTGCTCCCTTGAAATCTAACTCCTGATGGTCCAACTCTTACTTCTCCCCTGCCAATTTACACTTTCAGGGAAAAAAACCTACATACACGATGCAATGCAGTGTTCCTSTGTTGGTTTTGTATATAAGATTTGCTATGCAATTCCAAACCTAAAACAGGAGGAGAGCCGGCCCTGCGTCCCAGAGCAAGCAGAGAATCAGAGGTGAAAGGTAGGAGCCAGCATTTCTTGTTTAAGTCAAACTAAATAACCTGAGCTACTTCTTACTGAGAACCTTTTAAACATACCTACTGTATGTTTACTTATGTGGTCTTGGAAATGTAAAACAGTTTGAAATAAAGTGAAGATTTGCTTTCTAATACTGCCAGGAAACAGAGAACTGGTGCATTTTGTAACAGGATTGTACCGAGGAGGAAGGATGGAGTGTTTCATCAGTGAGACATTTAGGGAACTAGAGAAAAGGCACCTTGYCTAATACGCTTCAGTAAATATGAAGGGCTGGTGCAGTGGACACTGAAAACACTCGATCAATAGTCTATTTAAGTGGGAATAGATGCAAGCATGGAAAAGTGATTGCTTTGCTGTGTGTGGGRTGTGTTTGCAGAGGACAGCAGCAGAACATTTACAGGTGAGCTGGCTGAGTTAGGCTGCTCCATGCCGGGGTGGTGCAGTGTGTTTCTGAAGGGATTGTTGAAAACCCCTGTTTGTAGGGTGGACTGTGTTTGTGCATTTTCAGCTCCTGCTCGTAGAGTTTTTGGGATGCAGTTCAGGATGATTCAAGGAGGGTGAGGTCTGTCTGGGGGMGAAGGGAATGTAGGAAAGGACCTTTGGTCTGTTTGGTGATGAGTAATTAATGGACGTCTGATGTCTCTGATCTCTGCAAGGAAAGGAGTTGATGTCATCATGAAAATCATGATATGATTTTCCCTCAGGAGAAACTATGACTTGGAACGACACCACTATGGACGGGGAAGGGTTGCTGGTGGAAAGGGACTCCTCTTCCTTTCGGATCCTCACAGGCTGCTTCCTCTCGCTCCTGATCCTCTCCACGCTGCTGGGAAACACGCTGGTCTGCGCAGCTGTCATTAGGTTTCGCCACCTCAGGTCCAAGGTGACCAACTTCTTTGTCATCTCCTTGGCCGTGTCAGATCTCTTAGTGGCGGTTTTGGTCATGCCTTGGAAGGCTGTGGCCGAGATCGCCGGTTTCTGGCCTTTTGGTTCTTTTTGCAACATCTGGGTGGCCTTTGATATTATGTGCTCAACAGCCTCCATCTTAAACCTCTGTGTCATTAGCGTGGACAGATACTGGGCCATCTCCAGCCCGTTTAGGTAYGAGAGGAAAATGACCCCCAAGGCAGCCTTCGTCATGATCAGCGTGGCGTGGACTTTGTCCGTGTTGATCTCCTTCATCCCAGTGCAGCTGAACTGGCACAAGGCTACAACCACGAGCTTTTTGGACTTAAATGCCACCTTACAGGGTGAAAGCACGGACAACTGTGATTCTAGCCTAAACAGGATGTATGCCATCTCCTCTTCTCTAATTAGCTTCTACATCCCCGTGGCCATCATGATAGTAACCTACACCAGGATATACCGGATTGCTCAGAAGCAAATCCGGCGCATCTCGGCTCTGGAGAGAGCAGCGGTGCAYGCCAAGAACTGCCACAACCCGGGCGGCAACAGGAGCAGTATGGACTGCCAGCAGCCCGAGAGCAACTTCAAAATGTCCTTCAAGAGGGAAACAAAGGTGTTGAAGACTCTCTCGGTGATCATGGGGGTGTTTGTGTGCTGCTGGTTGCCATTTTTTGTGTTGAACTGCATGATTCCCTTCTGCGAGCCCACCCAGCCGTCCAAGGGAGCAGAGGCTTTCTGCATTAATTCCACCACCTTTGACGTTTTTATATGGTTTGGATGGGCAAATTCTTCCCTCAACCCCATCATTTATGCCTTCAACGCTGATTTCCGCAAGGCATTCTCCACCCTGCTGGGCTGCTACAGGCTCTGCCCCCTGTCTGGCAATGCCATCGAGACTGTCAGCATTAACAACAACGGGGCAGTGGTTTTTTCCAGCCAACACGAGCCCAAAGGGTCCAGCCCCAAAGAGTCTAATCTAGTTTATCTGATTCCACACTCAATTATCTGCCCGGAAGAAGAACCTCTTAAAAAGGAAGAAGAGGGTGAACTGTCAAAGACTTTGGAGAAAATGTCTCCAGCACTGTCGGGTATCTTGGATTATGAAGCTGATGTTTCTTTGGAAAAGATCAACCCCATTACACAGAATGGGCAGCATAAAACCTGAACAGTAAGGTTTACTCAGCAAGACCTAATGGTGTATATTGTATTACTCTTTTTTTGGGRRAAAAAAAAAGATATACRATGKTTTTYTTTKGTAAGAAACTAAGCTCTAAGGGAGAAAAATGCACATTTACACCAAGCCCAGAATTATTTTTCCTGGCCTTCAGAGCAAATTTAACATTTCAAACAATAAACAGAAAAAGATACTGGGAATTGGTTATGAAAAGGGATGTTAAACTGTACTGTTCATACTGAGGAAAATCTACAAATTTAGATACAGTGCAGTTACRAAGAAAATGTTGCTTCTTCTCTGTACAGAGAAACCAGTTTCTAACTAAAAGTGAGGCAAAAGATAAATGTTGAGTATTTAAAGATTAATGTTTACTAGAAGTTAAAAGATTGCTGTGTCTTGTGATAGTGGGTGTTAACAGGTCCTAATTAAAGACTGAGGGATTGTAAAGGTAGGTAGATGCCTTCTTAAAATTATTTCTGACAAATAATTGAGCCTTATAACGAGAATGGTTATTTTTAAAGCTTTGGGAGGTAATATGTTGATACTGGTTTTATTTATTTATTGTTTTAAATTGATATTTTTCATATGTTATAACAGATCTAGCTTTATTTATGTTATTTAAGATGTCTAAATAATGGGATATTTTTGGATTGTCATAACTGCATTTTGACCAGTCAACCAGTCAGCACTTTATTACAAGCTCTGATAGTCTGGAGAGCTGGTGAGGGGAATGGAGGGATGTTAAGAAGCTCAGCAAGAAATGAAGGAATCAACAAAACCGATGCTGGGTGGAGTTAGTTTGCTTGTGGGCGTTTTTTTTATTTTGAAGTGGGATTTCTTTCAAAAGATAGGACCAGAGTTGACTGAGTTGYGAATTCTCTTCCCTTATAGAAATAAAAAGAAATTGCTGCTATTTATTTTTAAAAAGTTTCATGTTACAGAGACTTTGCTAGAATGTCAAGTTTGTGGATCTGTAAATACCTTAAATATGACTACAACCTTAAGAAGAATCCAGTTTGGGAAGGAAAGCTTCTTAGATGACAATTCTTAGTATATAGTGTTTTGTATTTATGTAAGATAAACAGCTTTCTCAGACTTTTCTTATTTCAAATCTTGGATATCTTTTCTGAACAAACACACTGGGTTATAATGGTAGGAAGGATGCCAGAAACCTCGTAATCACCGGTGTTCCTGCAGGATCACCCGGACCCTGCTGTCTGTCTGCTCCTCTATCACAGTCAAAATTCAAACCTGGGGTACCTGGTGCTTTACTCTGGGAGCTGGGAGGACCTTGCAGTTTAGAAATTGCCATGTCAATAGTCCAGTCAATAAAGAATAGTGCCTCATTACCATTCGGGATTGAAACATTTCTAACTAGGGCGGAACTGCAGCCCCCATCTCAAAATCCTCCTGTGAACTCCCCAAAAAGTTGCCAATGTTTAATTAAAAACTCCTGCTACTTTTCCACTGGCCTTSCCTGCTGCTTTCCCTCTGTAATGCCAAAAGCAATCAGTGAGCAYTAGCAACAGGAACATTGGGTGTTAATATTCAGCAGCATTCAAAGAAATCCATTTCTTTTCTGAATGGGAGAAAATACCCTTTGGAGCAACTTTTTCGTAACATATATCAAAAAAAATGTGTTGTCAGGAAAAGAGAACTGAGAGAAAAAAAAATTTAAAGTCTAATGAACTATATACATCCTGCATCAGGTCTGTGTATTTATGTATTGTGAATGTTTTCATAATTTTATTGCCTGTATGCTGCTTTCATACATATAATAAAATTATTTTGTGAACAGAAGGTCAAATAAAGCAATCTACATTGCATTTATTAAATACATGCTGTTTTTTGGCAGTTGTATTGATCATGTTAAAGGGAAGGATGGTTCCTTTATTTTCCCATTTGCCCTTATTTGGGATCACACCCATCAGGCAGATGGGAATTTCTGTTAGAAGCAGGGAAAAACCTCCCTGCTAAGGATCACTGAGCTCTTGCTCTAAACTAGGATTTGAAAGCAGTAAAAGCAGTTTGGAAACAGCCRCTCTCTGCTTTAAATGTGTAAAACTCGACCTACTGGTGACTTTTATTTCAAAGATTGTTTTCTGCCTTGGTGTAATAGCAYAGTGAATTTGGTTTATAGCATGTTTTTATTGTTGTTTTTCCTTTTCTTTTTTTCTTTTTTTCCTCTCCAAGCTGTGGAGTACTTCTCAAAGCCTCATACAGGCCCACTGCTGGTGTCTGATTTTTGGAGCAAAATGAATCATTTCAGCAGTGAGGTTTTGGTGGGTGCAGCTGAGGATCCCTCTGTCCCTGGCAGCCTTCTGCTTTTGCCTCTGTCAGCAGATTCATTTTGAAATGAAGAAGTAAATCTACGTGGCCACTTCTGCTCTGGGACTGGAGCTGSTGCAGGAGCTGTGGGAATGTCCAAGGTCCCCCTCCCTGCTGCTCCTGGGGTCAGTGAAGCAGCAGRTCTGAGGCAAACAGGGCTTTGTGACCGCCTCCAACCTGTCTTGGCTTCTTTGGGAAAATTTCCTTGCGTGGTGATAATACCTGATTTATTTTGGGGTATCTTTGAGGAATTACTTTACTTGAAAAGTACACAGGCCAAAGAGGAAGGTCTGTGGTTTCTTACTTTCAAAACTCCCAGCAGTCTGATATGAAAGCAAAATACAAAATGTGATTCAAGAAGATTGTGCACAGCAAGATTGTGGTTTTTTTTGCATGAGTTTGTAAGGGATGAGTTGTATTCTGTAATAAATGGTTGCTGTGCTTGACCAGAAGCTGTCACAGAACCTCCCTCCTTGCAGAAGGATCTCAGTTTCAGGGGTTTCTGTGAAGTTTGGGGAAGTTCTGCTGCTGTTGCTGTTGGGAGTGTCCCGGCAGTGTGAGAGGCTGGGGAGACACCTGGATGATTTAATTTTATTGTTTATCTCTCATTGGATGTAAACTATTTTTTGCTTCCTTTTCCTTCCATACATTTTAGAACAACACGAATTGTCCTTGACTCTCATTTACCAGCATAACCTCTGTTTTCCAGCCTTTCCAGCAAATTTCTCTACCTGTCCTCTCTGCTTTTCCTCCCATTACTGCCAGAGCCTTYCTGTCACTTTGTTTGGCTTTATTTGCCCCAATAATCCTTTGCCTGGAAGAAAGTCCAAATTAAAATCCTCCCCCCCAGCGCAGCCAAGAGTCCAGAAATGCCTCTCTTACCTGTTGCAGAGCCTGCCACCAGTGCCAGGGGTGCCTAGAAGGGACAGCAGCAGGCACCTGCTAACTGCTGCTCTATTTATGAGCTGAATTAATTGCTCAGAAGCTGCGTTACCTGCTCTGCRCCTGCTCCCCGGCKGCTCAGAACCAGTGGGCTGCTGGAACTCCTGGTCACACCAATGTCAGGGTGCACCCCRGGGGCTGGAGCAGTGCCAGGCCCTCGCTGGGCTCTGTGGAGCTGATAGCAGGGAGATGACTGATGAGGTTTGGCTGGAGTAGTGTGTGAGTAGCCTGTGAGTAGCCTGGGAGGAGCTCTGGCTGTTCCACCCGGGCAGGCGGCTGCTGCTCTGGAGGATGAGGAGCATGAACTCATTTCTGAGAGCCTTTCTGAGACAACCTTGGCCACGTTGGTGGAACAYATCCCCAGGAAATCTTTTCCTCACCATGTGGCTGAGCAGAGGCAGAGCCACAGAGGAGCAGTGAAGGGCCAGGACACCAGGATGTCGCTGCTCCCACCAGGACCAGGACAGTCCCCACATCTCCCCCATGGCCATCAGTCACTCTCCTCCCTGCCCTGCTCATGCTTTTCTCCCTGCCTTGCTCCCCTGCAGCGTTTTCCTCTGCAGAGTGAACCTCGCTCTGTCCTTTTCCCATGCCAGGACATGAATGAAAGGTTACCCACAGATAACCCAAGAAACCTTTTTCTTTCTGGCATTGTTTCCTCGTGACTGAAGGTATTTTTCTGTTTGTGGTTGGAAGAGGTTAATAATTCACCTGATGGCCTTGATGGAGGAGCTGTTTGCAAGGAATGAGCTGCAATCACCAGATTAAATCTGAATACTTTTCTCCCTTCCCTTGCCAAGCATTTTATGCTGATTTGGGTTTCTAACTTAACAAAGCATATCAAAGATAGAGGATGAACGAGAAAATGCCTTTGCTGAGGTACAGGTTTAATGATACAGTTATTGGGAGCCATCCTGGCTGTTTTTCAAATCAATAGCTTTCAGAAGCAACTAAATCTGATTGAAATCTCAAAAACATGCTATGATTAGTATCTTGAAAGGCAGATTATTCCAGTAATTATTTTGTTTWTTAGTGTAATGATAGCAGAGTATGTTCCTAGCCATGAACATGTGGCCTGTGCGGCCACACAATCAATGTGACTTAAACAAGGAATGCTGTGGTATTTATTTCATGGCTTTTAAAAATACAAATCCAAGATATTCTTGCCCTGGTCTGTTGCAGTGGAGGTGGTTTGCGGACCAAGTGTTGGGGTCCAGTCTTGGATCAGGTGATGATCCCATCTTTGAGGGAGGGTCTGATGATAAAAAATCTTTTCTTGCTCCCATCCCTTGATTTTCAGATAACAAAACTCCTATTAATTTCACATTTTCCTAAGACAAGGGAATTTTTTTGAGATCTTGAAAGAAGAGAATGAGGGAAGTATTTGCTTCCCAGATTGTCCTTCCACTGGTGCAAGCAGAGGAATCAAACATTTCACTGACCTGCAGCACCATTGCAAAGTTTCTCTTAATTTCAGAGGGAATTATGGATTCAGACACCCAGGTATTTCCCTCTGTTTTCATTTTATTTCTCTGTTAATAACCGAGTTCTCAATGGTGCCAAGTTCTTAATGATTTGGATGTCTCTCTGTSTCAGTACCAATAATCTATTTTCATGAGCAGTTCATACACAACATCCATCATCCTCAATTAAAGGATTCATGAAGCGTGTGGAAGGGACAAATGGTGAAATTAAATGAGAATGTTTTTTGTTACAGAAGCAGGACATGAACCAGGCCTTTATCACCTGCATTTAAAGGACAAACCTGTC